GAAGGATCTTCTGAACTCGTACAGCACGCGGCTCAGGGCGGTGATGGATGCTGAGATCATGTGAGGGGTGCTGCCGACGAGACCGGCGCTGACCATGGTGAGGAACTCCTCAATATTGGCTTTGCCGGCAGGCGCGTCTGCGGGCATGTGGGGAATCTTGGTGTTGTCGATAGGGGCGTCGTTGGCAGACTCCATGCGGTGGCCCATCTGGACGAGGAGATCGTACGCAGTCTCTCTGGCGCGCTCGTTGTTCTCCTTGCAGCAAATGACGACTTCACTAAGGATGGATGGGATGAAGTGGAGGGAGGTATCGGGAACGAAAGGAAGCAGCGCAGAGAGAGCGGCGAGACGGTCTCTGCGGGCGGGGGCGGAAACCTTCTCGGCGCTCGTCAGGAACATCTGCTGCAGCTCGTCATTGCGCGCTGTGAGGGCCTCCTTGCCAATTTCTGACTCGGTAAGCCGGGGAACCAGCTTGTAAGCCTTCTTCTGCAACTGAGGCTCGTTGTCCCTGAAAATGACGGCAGTGGAGATTTCAAACAGAGCCGAGTAGCTTTCGCGAGGCAGGTAGCGAGCAATGCAGATGATCAGATCCATCAAGGTGTTGCTCGTTGAGGGCATAGCATTCTGCTTGGCTTGTTGCTTGGGCTTCTCCTGGTCAGCAGTCTGCTGCAGTTCCGCTGCGAGCATCTTGCTGACACGGTCGAAGGTGTCGATGAGCTCCTTCTCGGGGGTGACGCTGAGGAAAGCGTTGATGGTGAGGAGGATAGGTCCTCTTGTTTGGGGAAGGGTCTGGGTGTACACGTTAAAGAGAACAGCGAGCATGTTTCCGGCAAAGCTGCCCAAGTGCTCCAGGTTCTTCTTCGCAGTGGCCCTAGAGACACGGCTCTGAAGGACAAGATCTTCTTCGCCGTCGTCCTCGATAGTCGCAATAGCCTGGTTGGATTCAATGAGAACCTTGAGCGCACGGCAAACCTCCAGGCGCAGGTCGACCTGCTTGTACAGGATGTTTGCCAGGAGCTCGGCGAATGACTGGTCGAAAGCCTCGGTAACGTCAAGCGGGAGATCGCAGTAGCCGGGCAACGTCGCCCAAATTTGCTGTACAAGGGTCTCGAAGATCTTCACTTCCAAAGTCTTCTCGGCCTCGCCGTGGTCAAGCACCTTTTGGAACATGAGCTCACTAAGAGGGACCATCTCTTGGCGGAAGTGAGCGAGGTTGGTGTTGCTGAGAAAGTCACGCAGGATGGGGAACATCCAGGCGCGGCCCTGCTGTCCCTTGGCGGGCTTCGCGATGTTCAGGGGCAGGATAGACAGAACAGCCTCGGGGCCCATGGCGCGGATGGCCTTGCCAATGACTTCGTCGGCCTCCTTCTTGCCTTGGAAAGAGTCGCTGCCGCGGAGTTCTCCGACAGCCTTGGTGATGTTGAGCATCATGGGGTGTGCGCGCCATCTCAAGGAGTCAAACATGGCTCCAAAGACGTTGAAACTCTCCATCCAGGCTTGTTGATACTTGAGGCTCAGCAGAGACTCGGCAATCTTGGCAATCTTGTCTAGCGTCTTCTCATCGTAGATTGACGGCTCCAGAATGACCTGCTTCGGGACACAGTTCGCCATGAACGAAACCAAGCACTCGGAAGCGGAGATGCGGATGTTGTGTGCGGAGGACTCGAGGTACTGGGCGACCATTGAGAAAATCTCGGGCAGGTTCTGGAAAACGTCCTCAGGCTCGAGTTGTGCGGAAACGTCGTAGCCTCTCGAGAGGATTGCCAGCCATGGCGGAATAAGCTGTGTGTCGTTTGCAGCAGGGCGCAGCTCCGAGATGATCTCCATCAATCGCGGGAGCTTGGACGAGGCGACCTCGTCGGCCATGCCCTCAAAGATCATTTCGAAAATCTCAAAAGTCGCCATCGTCATGTACTCGTTGCCGGTTCTTGAGATTCCGAGGAGCAGGTCGCACAGAGACTCGATCTTCTTGCTGGGCCAACCACCACTTGCAGAGGCAATAGTCTTGATGAGCTGAAGAGCGTGGATCAGAGCGGGATCGTGCGCAGACTCGGCTCCCTTCTGCTTCTTTGCCGCTGCAGCCTTTCCAGCAATATCCTCGAGGTTAGCAAGAGCGGTGTGAGCGCACATGTCCGCGGCCGGATGGTCGAGTGAGGGGCTCGGGGGCGGGTTCTTGAGGACATTTCGGAGCGCTTCCTGTGCCCTCTTGCGGATCTTCGGGCGCTGCTCGAGAGCGAGGTTGAGCAGACCGGCGACGGCTCTGCGGGGGCCGATCTGGGTCACGCCCAGCTCCCAAGCACCCGCATCTTGTGCGAGAAGAAGAGACTCGAGGCATCCGATGGAGGAGCGGAGGAGGAGGGCTTCGGCATCTTGTTGCAGGAGAACGGGTGCGAGCGAGGTGAGGATCTGGGTGAACTTGGCGCGGAGGATAGGTTGAGGCGCAAACGGGGTGATGGTATCGAGGAGGTAGACCACGGAGGTCGTCGTGTCGGAGCTGATGTTGCCACTCTCGACAGCTTGGGTGAGGAGGGCGAGAAGGGCGGCGAAGTAGCCAGTCGGTGTAGGCTGAGCGTTTTGCTCCTTCAGTGTTGTGTCGACCGCCTCGAGGACTACGGCAGTCTTGGGGTACTTGTTAGCAACCACAATAGCTTGACTTGAAAACATTTGGTAAAACTTACCCTCTTCTGACTTTGAAGACCCGGGGAGCGGATCTTGTCCAGCTTCTCGGCAAGAGTTGGAGTCGACATTGTGCTTGTCGTATTCCAATTCCGTCGGGGACCAACTGTGGAAAGAGACGATGCAAGTCAAGCCGGTGTGGTCGAGGATCCCGTCCTCTCAGTGTCCCAAATTTTTCCTGGCGCAAAAAAATCCTTATCGGAACACCCCGCCCCCGATAAGACTCGCTTAACAAGGGTACGTACTGTGTGGGAAGGCCGCTTTGGCCAGAAGGTTGTCCATCTCGCACGGTCCTTCAACGGTGATGGATTCCAACGTTGAAATCCCCCACAATCGGTGTCAGTTTCAGAGCCCAGGAATGTCGATTTGAATACGGATAAGGAGTACATTATCCAGGCCTGTATAGATAGATTCGACGCATATATATTATTATGCAATGTCTAATCTCAAGACGTCTTACCATGGCTTACGTTGCTGTTGCTTACTTACTCATGTGCTCACAGTGAGACAGGTCTGCATTGCAGCAGTCTCATCACCTCAGTTAAGGTAAGCTACCTTAGTCACCTTTGCAACCCCCAATCGGTACCGAGTGATTCCATCGTAGGCTTTAACAGTCACTATATCCGTTTTTACTATAAATTCTCATACCTTCATACTGTTCAGGTGCTGCGGAATCACCTAGTCCGAATGCCTTCCGAATGTCTCTCTCTCTCTCTCGCGCCCCAAGGCATGTAAAAGGGAGGGGATGCTCGGGCATAGCATAGCGTATTGTATATGTAAGCGGCAAAGGTCGTAGAAGCTCAATCTCGGATGCCAGGCATGGCCGGATTTACATGACAAGAATTTCTCTCCGTCTCCGTCCGCAGCTCTCCTCCCACCGGCATCATTTTATCATCTTCATCACGGCTATTCAGGATCCCCCCGGTCCGTTCAGTAATAAGCCCGCTCGCAAACTTAGTCAAGTGATCCATTCTCCTCGACCCAAATATTACCGGTGTCTATCATGATGACTGGCCACTATAAGTTGTACATGGCATATTTGGGCAATGTCATGATTCAACTCATTCATGATTGACCAGGTACCTATCTACGGATAGACATGCTAAGCTTGCGTTTCTCTGTCTATCTATGGTGGGCGTTGAATCGGCCTTTATGATGGCTTAACTGAGAGTCTAAAGCAACTTCTTGGCAAGCCCTAGATCGTGAAATATGTCACTGTTCGGGATTGGGGAAGCCGGACCCATCTTTTGTCAACGTAGAGTAAAGTTAATTAGACAGTTCTCGAATGTCTATCCATATCTTTCTATTGACTGAGTCGCAGTCTAGCCATCGTCTACCTAGCAGATGTGGTCTTCCTAGTACCTCAATGACCATGTGCCTTAAGTCCCCGAGACAGTCGTATAATCGTATTCCGAGGGCATCGACGGTAAGTAGCCGTCCTTATAAAGCGTCGATATTGCACCAGTATAGTCATCCCCATTGAAGCAACCCGGACATAGTCCATTTCGTCTCCTCTCATAACCCCCCCTCACTTACACCACCACGCAATTCTCGACTCTTTTCGGAGCCGTAGCTATTATTGCCGGATTGGCCTCGGCCGCGCCCGCATCAGAGCAATCTGCCGTCAAGCGCCAAAACTGGCAGTATTGCCCAACAGCAATCGAACGGTGCACAAACATCTTGGGAGGAATCGGCGGTTGCGTTTGCGGCCTCAAGCTTGACCCTAGATACGACTGCGTTTGCGTTTGAGTAGGTTATTTTACCTCTTGTTCCATCTGTTGGACGACGTGCTGACTCGAGAAGTATGCCTTCTTCGATACCAACGTTGGAGGACCGCAGAATGACGAGCAATAGAACGGGGGGGTATGGGGATGATGGGCTCCATAAGCGATACACTGTCTCTCTGGGTTAGACTATAAAAAAAAGAATGAATTCCAAACAGAAAAACGATTCGAGAGAATTCCAGTCGAATCCCTTCTTTTCCATATTATCAAGCTCTACCACAAGTCTCTCAGTAAGCCTAATACTGTAAGCGACTTAGTTAGACCTTGGACATAAATATCGCGAGAGAAAGAGGAACTTAGATACCATGTATGATAGCCGATGCAAGTAAGCGTCGCTGGTGACATCTGGAAAGGCTGTTGCCACATGAAGTTGTGAACGGAGGTCAACTCCGTCTATGGCGTGATGGGACGGAACCCACGAATCAGGCAAACATGGGGTTCAAGTTGTGTACCTACCTCAAGTACCTATTACTTGGAATATTATCTGCAGGTGAAAAAAACACAGTTTAGCTTAGATCCTTCATATTCTGCACATACACCATGTCTCGAGACCCAAATCGTCCAAACGTCGTGTTAATCCTAGCTGACAACCTCGGCTGGGGTGAGTTGGGCTGCTACGGCGGGGGCGCCCTCCGCGGCGCCGCAACGCCCCGGATCGACAAGCTCGCAACGCAAGGTCTCTTACTGCACAACTTCAACGTGGAGAGCGACTGCGTTTCCACCCGGTCCGCGCTGATGACAGGCCGGCACCCGATCCGGACCGGCTGTCGACAATCCGTCCCCGCGGGGTTCCCGCGGGGTTCCCGCAGGGTCTGGCTTCGTGGGAGAAGACACTGGCTGAATGTCTCAAGGAAAACGACTATGCGACTGCGCATCACGGGAAATGGCATTTGGGAGATGTTCCCGGACGGTGCCCTTCAGACCGAGGCTTCGACGAGTGGTTTGGGATTCCGAGGACGACTGATGAGACGCAGTTTACCTCTGCGATTGGGTATACTCCCGAGGTAGCGGAACTACCATATATCATGAAGGGAGTTGCCGGGCAGAACTCAGAAAACGTACGCGTCTATGACTTGGAGGCCAGGAGACTCATCGACGAGATGCTGGTGGAGAAATCCAAAGACTGGCTGTCCCGTCAAGTTGCGACTGAGCGGCCATTCTTCCTCTACCACCCCCTCGTCCATCTCCACTTCCCGACGCTGCCTCATAAAGACGTTGCGGGTACTACCAAGCAAGGCGACGTTGCAGACTCTATGGCTGAGATGGACTATCGTGTGGGCGAACTCTTGGACCACATCGACTCCATCGGGATTCGAGAAAACACAGTCGTCATCTTTGCCTCTGACAACGGCCCAGAGTTCAGAGAGCCATACAGGGGCACGGCGGGGCCGTGGTCGGGGACGTACCACACTGCCATGGAAGGGAGCCTGCGTGTGCCCTTCATCATACGGTGGCCTGGTCACGTTCCGGAGGGCGTCACGTCGAATGAGATAGTCCACGTAACAGACATATTCACAACCATTTTGTCCATTACCAAACCTGGCGTTCCAAATGACCGCCCCATCGACGGCATCGATCAAACGAACTTCTTCAAGAACCCGATCAACGAAAAGTCCGAGAGGCTGGGGTTCCTATTTTATATCAAAGAAGAGCTGCGAGCGATCAAATGGAAAGACTGGAAGTTGCACCTCGTCTGGGAACCCAAGGTCAACCAGTCGTCGGGTCGCCTCGAGTCGCCCTGCTTATTCAATACCATCAGGGACCCGAAAGAGGAATCCGATATTTTGTCTCTCAACACCTGGGTGTTGCAGCCGATGACGAAGTTGAGGACCGAGTTTCAGAGGAGTCTGGCAAATGATCCGGCGCCGCCAGATCCGTTGAAGGATTTTCTTTGCTCTAATATAGATGTAGATATTCTCTGGTAGACTAAAAGAGCATCAAAGTCAATCTCACAGCAAAGGCTACCTTATCTGGAAAATAATCATTTGCTCTCAAGCATCCTTGATTAATCTCAATTATGCTACATCTAGTTTTACAGCGTTGGTGCGCATCTGGCAGGTGCACGATCTTGTTGCGCTGAGAGTAACATGACTCAAATATTTCATTTAAGCTGCCGTGATCACATTGATCATAGTAGAGCTTGATAATGTCCGAATGGGTTGTCATACACTCTACGAGGTCCGGGCTATCGTGATGGAAACACAACATACGCAACTAGATAACCATGGTCCTTGGCCATAAGCAGGCTGGGCAATACGCGCAGCCAAAAGTCAGGACAAGTATTTCCAGCAGATAACAGAGTAAGCCTTGTGTGATGGTAACTATTTGCCACGAGGACACTGGCCGCTAGCAAGGCACATAAGATCTAATACTCTCGAGCTCCCACTATCAAGCAATTTCTGTAATCTTTGTGTTCCTTCAACTCTCTCTCCATCCGTCCTAGGCGAAGTTGGTTCATACTTCACGACCGAGCACAAACGTCAAAGCAGATACCTCACAATGGTCTCAAAAACGACATACGAGCCTCTGCTCGTAACACTGACATTCACACCCGGAGGCTTCCAAAAGACCAAGATCCTCTCCATGGCACCGCAGACCACCCCCTTCACACCACCCAGCGGCCTCTGCTCTCCCGTCGACATTCGATGCTTGGTGGTCAAGACGGAAGACCTCACAGGAGACGTAGAATGCCTACGAGACCATGTCGTAGCTGAGACTACAGCCAGCCTACCAACCCAATGTTTCCCCGAGAGCTACGCCGCAATCTGGCGGCCGTCTGGGACCGTTTTCAGTGAGACCCTCTACTTACTTTACCCCCTTTCCAACTTTTGGAGAAAAGCACAAAGAACGCTGACAACATATCACTTCGGAAACCAGGCGACGTCGCAAGCGTAGCCTACCCAGGCACAGCCTGCATCTCCGGCTGGACAACAGCATGCGAAACAACCATCACCCTCGAGAGCGCGCAGACGTACACCCAGACATGGTGCTGCCCGAGCTCGTACACCTGCCTCGTACCCACACCAGGCGGGACGCCCTATCGAGACTGCGTCAGTCTCCTCAGCACGAACACGGAGATCTGGATCAACAACATCGAGACGAGCGGCGGGAGGGAGTCGACGCTCTGGAACTCGTGGAGGAAAATCTCCCTCACCGGTCTCCCGAGTGCCGCTGCGGGGGGGCCGCTCTCGGTGAAGCACCCCGTCTTTCCGCTCTACGGCCGGGTTCCCTCTTCTCAGGCTTCCGGTGTTGTCGGGGGCGAGGGGAGTCTTTCGACTGGGGCTGTTGCGGGGATTGCGGTTGGGGCGGTGGCGTTGGTTCTTTTGCTTGTTGGTGCTGGGCTGTTTGTTTGCCTTCGGAAGAGGAAGCAAAAGAGAGCCGCGGCTGCCATCGCTGCTGAGAATGAGGGCACTTCCGGTCATGAAGGTCACGCGCATAAAGGTTTCGGGTACGATGCGAAGCAAGAGTTACCCGGTCATGGGACAGAGATGAGGGAAGTAGATGCTGCTACGCCGCCTCCGGTTGAGCTTTCGGCATATACGAGGGCTGCGGAGGTCGAAGGCAGCCGCCCTGTTGAGTTGTCGTGAAGAAGTTCTCGGGAGCGTTTGTTTTGTTCTTCATCATCATCAATACTTACTTATTCTAGATACCTTGGCTTGTTCGTAATGTAGCGTGTAAGGTATGTATGAAGGTAAGTAGTGATATCGGCCGACATGACATTAGCTGCTTGGCCCCGCCTCGCTAGACCACATTGTCCGAATCCCACATCAAAGGCGTGTCGACAGCTTGTGGGTCTCAACTCCATGGTGTAAGTGAGCGAGCTACTGTACATGTGATTGGTCTAGTCCGGCGCCCTTGTCCAAACTCGGAAATCTTGACTATCAAGGGGAAATGTAGACTGCAAAACGACACATCTATAGTGTAAGTACTCAATGCCAGTGTAAGTCCAAAAGTATATAATCTTCCTATCTTCTCAGGAGATTCCAGATACTATCATACAACACCATTCACAAACACATCTAACCCAGTTCCTCACCTTCCAAAATGTCTGAACCTCGCGAAACCATCATCATAGTCGGCGCAGGCATCGTCGGCTCAGCCCTAGCACACTTCCTCTCATCATCCCCATCACCCACCACCCCGCGAACAATCACCCTCATCGACCGCTCCTTCGGTCCCCTCCTCGGCTCAACAGGCCACGCACCCGGCTTCGTCGGCCAATTCAACGACTCCAAAGTCCTCACCAAGTTAGCCATCGACTCTGTATCAGAATACACCAAAATTCCCGGCGGATTCGACACCGTCGGCGGCCTGGAAATCGCCTTCCAGCCCGCGGGGTGCGAGCGTCTCAAGGCCAGATGCGCAGCTGCCGCGCAGCTCGGCTTGCCTGCTGAGATGTTGAGCCTGAGTGAGGCACATACACTCGCGCCGGAGCTCGTCAGAGACAACTCTTCGGACTCGGCCCCGGGGACGGCGGTGTTCTTCCCCACCGACGGGACCGCCGACGCATGCGCAATCACCTCCTTCTACCAAGCCTCAGCAAAAAAGTCAGGCGTCCATTTCCTACAAAGCTCCGTCAAGAAGCTGTCGCTCACATCAGACGGCCGAATCAAGGGCGTCCAGGTAGTCGACAGCGGCTCCAGAACGCACCTCGACGCCGACAAGGTCATCTTCACAACAGGAATCTGGGCCCTCGACCTCTGCCGCGACCTCCCCTGCCCCGTCCCCGTCATCCCCGTCGGACACCCCTACATGCACGCCCGCACCCGAACCCCCTTGTCCCCACGAGAAAAACCCCTGCCCTTTGTGCGCTGGCCGGAACACCACGTCTACGCCAGAGACCACGGCGCCCGCTACGGCATCGGAAGCTACGACCACCCGCCCGTGGGCTGCGCGCCGAACCAAGAAGACGGGACGGCCATCGGTGTGTGGATCCCCGACTTCCGGCAGACGCTGGAATCTGCGAGGGGGATGTTGCCCCCTGAGACGGCGGCGGAGTTTGAGGAGGATGGGAGCGAGAAGAAGAAGAAGAAGAAGAGGAGCAGGAGCTTTAATGGGATTTTCTCCATGACGCCTGATAATATGCCGCTTGCTGGCGCGGTGAGGTCGGTGCCTGGGTTGCATATGGCTGTTGCGGTGTGGGTTACGCACGCGGCTGGGACGGCCAAGTTTTTGACGGGGGTTATTGGGGGGGAGGAGGTAGATCGGGAGACGTTGGAGGCTTTGGAGCCGGAGAGGTTTGCTGGAAGGGATTTTGCGACGTTGGAGGAGGAGTCGCTTTGTGGGTATAATTCTATCTACAAGACTGTGGCCAAATAGGCCTGAGGTTAACAACCAAACTCATGTTGATTGCTAGTTGGAGAAATTTCTGAAGAAATATTTCATACCCAACGGCCCTTGCTCATTAGTAGATTTTGATTTGCATCAACTCTCAAACGGCCAAGCCTCAATCTTCTAGTTTAGTCTCTAGGCATCTGCTCCATCCATCGATCAAATGCGGCTTATCTATATCGCACTATGAAATCGCGATTCCCCTTCAACCCCCTCCTCATGGTGCCTCTCACTCAGTCGCAACAACAAGCAAATCATCAAACGGTCCAACAACATCCCCCTCACCAACCAGCATCTTGACAACCCTCCCCTTCACGGGACTCCCAATCTTAATCTCCATCTTATTCGACTCAATCCACACCAGCGCGTCCCCGATCTCGACCTCGTCGCCCGCCTTGACCTCGCACTTCCAGCACCGGCCCGGCATCTGCGCCTTGATCCTCTCCCCAACCACACCACTGTCGCTGCCGCTTCCGCTGCCTCCCTCATCCCCCTCCCCATAGATACCGTGCCGCTCGCTCTCGGGTGGGTTATACGGCTGCAGCAGCTCCTCCATAAACGGCACATTGCGGATTGCTTCGGCGCGGAGGTTGCGCGTGGCTTCAATGTCGGCTTCGTTGGCCGCGAGCCAGGATTCGTATTCTGCTAGATCGAGGCTCCCTTCTTCGATGCGGACGAGGTCGGAGATTCGGCCTTGTGTGATTGCGGCGTCGAGGTCGGGTTCGGGGATGGGGTAGTATGATATCCGGTCAAAGAGGCGGAACATCCACGGTTCTGCAGCGTACGCGTTCGTGCTGGTATCGGAGTTGGAGTTGTCACCCCGGCGGCGCGATCGCGACACTACGGCGGACGCGGCAACGTCATCCCAGATCGGGACAGTCCGCCCAACAAGCTGGTACCCGCCTGGGGAATCCATGCCGTAGATGCACATGTACTGCCCGCCGATCCCCACGGCGCCGCGCGGTGTAAAGGAGCGGGAGGGGTTGTATTTCGTCCCGAAGAGGCGGTGGCGCGGGTCGAGGGGTACGGCGCAGGGGGAGCCGAGAAACACGTCGCCGAGGCCGAGGACGAGAAAGGTAGCGTCGAGGAAGATGCGCTCGACGTCGGCGCCGGATGGAAGGGCGTTGAGGTGGCGGAGGAAGTCGACGTTGCTGGGCAGCCAGGGGGCCGTGGCGCGGATTGTGGCGGCGTAGCGGGCGACGGCGGCGCGGGAGACGCTGTCGTCGAAGGCGAGGGGCAGGTGGAATGTGCGGGAGGGAATGGAAGGGGGGATGGCGTCGCCTAGGGAGGCCTCGTGGGAGCGGAGGGCGGAGAGGATTGTCGCGGGGGCTTGTTTGGGGGTGTATTGGACGTGGAGGGTGCGGACGCCGGGGGAGAGCTCGAGGACGTCTGGGATCGGGTGCGTCTTGTGGCGGGCTATGAAGGAGAAGATTTGGAAGCTTTGGCGGAGGGAGAAGACGTCTTCTGTGCCGAATTCCAGGAGCATGGCGTTGTCGCCGGCCTGGCGGACTGCGATGCGGCGGCCGGCGCTGCCAATGTCACCGAGCAAGGGGTCTGAGTCGGGCGTCGTCGGGCTGTTGGCGAGCGGGGTGACGTCCACCGCCAGGGGTGTGAGCTCGGCGATGGAGCGTTCGAGGGCGGACTCGAGGAAGAGTGCGTCGTCTACGTCGATGGGCTGGAGCTTGACCTTGTCGCCCGGGCGGAGCTGGCCGAGCTTCCACATCTCGGCCGAGGCGACGACGCAGAAGACGACGAAGCCGCCGAGGCTGGGCCCGTCGCACGTTAGGATCACGGCCTCGTCGCCGGTGAAGCTGACGCTGCCGACCGAGTAGGGACTGTCGTGGATGTTGGACGGGTGCAGGCCGGCTTCGCCACCGGTTTGGCGGGCCCACTGCGGTTTGGGGCCGTCGAGACGAATGCCGATTCGGTTGCTGTTGTAGTGGACGATCCACTCGCTCGCAAAGAGGGTATTGAAGCCTTGCTCTGTGAAGTGCTCGGGTGCTGAGTGCTGTCCTGGGACGACACCGATGGACCAGTTTGCGTTGATTGCATCATCGGACGGGATGGGAGTTGCGGGGCCGGAGACGGTGGACGGGGCCGTGGCAGTCAGGTTTCCCACGGGAAGTAGATCGCCGGAGCGGAGGTTCCGTCCGTTGTGGCCTCCGAGTTGGCCTAGCGCGAAGGTGGAGCGGGAATTGAAGATCTCGGGGACGGCGACGCCCCCGCGGATTGCGAGATAGCTGCGGTACCCGGACGTTGCGCCGCCGATGAACAGCGTCTGGCCTTTTTTGATAGAAAAGACGGCGTTCTGTGGAACAGGCTCCTTGTCGATCTTGACTTCGGCGGTGGCACCGGTCACTGCTACAACGGCGTCGCAGTGGAAGAGAAGGCTTGGGCCATGAATGGTACACTCGAGCCCGGCCGCGCGGGAGTCATTCCCAACCAGTCTATTTGCGAGTCTGAACGAGTAGTCGTCAAATGGTCCGGATGGCGGGACGCCCACATGCCACAACCCCTTGCGGCCTGGGTAGTCTTGGACGACGGTAAGGGTGCCCGGATCAACGACCTCGAAAACGGAGGACTCGAAAGTGAATGTGTTTAGGGACGTCGTTGTGAAGGCGCCAGACTTGAACATATCAGACGCGACAATGTGCCGGACGTAGTTCAGATTCGTCTCAACACCAGTGATGACCGTCTTCTCCAAAGCGTCGGCGAGCTTGGCGATGGCTGCTGTTCGGTCCTCGCCTGTAGCGACGATCTTGGCTACGAGCGGGTCATAGGACGACGACATCTCCATCCCTGGATCGACCCATGTATCGACACGTACATCGTCAGGGAAAGAGATATCCAAAAGGCGGCCTGGAGAGGGGCGGAAGTTCTGGAGCGGGCTCTCAGCATAGACGCGCACCTCGATCGCGGCGCCGTTCACCTCGAACCCTTCCGGCTCGTCAAAGATATTCTTGCTGTCGCCAGACGCCACGTGGACCATACACTCAACCAGGTCTAGACCAGTTACAGACTCCGTGACGGGGTGCTCAACTTGCAAGCGGGTGTTGACCTCGAGGAAGTAGAATTCGGAAGTGTCCACATCGTAGATGAACTCAACGGTGCCGACGTTACGGTATTTGACAGCAGAGGCAAGGTCCACAGCGGCCTTGCGCATCCTTTTGCGCACATCGAGTGGCACAAACGTGGCAGGACTCTCCTCAATCACCTTTTGGTTCCGGCGCTGCAATGAACAGTCTCGCTCGCCAGCAGACGTAACGTTGCCCTCTCCGTCGCCAATGACTTGTACCTCAATGTGCCGAGCACGCTCAATAAAGTGCTCCACAAAGACTCGGGCATCACCAAAGTTGGCCTGCGCCAATCTCCGGACGCTTTCAAAGGCCTCGACGAGTGACGCAACGTCATCGCAGCGCTTGAGGCCGATGCCACCTCCGCCCGCAGTACTCTTCAGCATCACAGGATAGGTGATGCGGTCCGCCTCGGTGAGCGCCTCGTCGGCACTCTTGAGGAGGTGCTTGCTTCCCGGCACGACAGGGACGCCTGCTCCAATGGCAACTTCGCGAGCGAGGTGTTTCAAGCCGAGTTGCCGCATCTGCTCGGCAGTTGGCCCGACCCAGACCATGCCTTCGGCCTCAACGGCTGAGGCAAAGTCGGCATTCTCTGCCAAGAAGCCGTACCCCGGGATGATAGCATCAACGCCAGCCTCTTTCGCGAGAGAGATGATTTGCGAGCCGTTGAGGTAGGTTTCTGAGACTGAGTTGCCCTCCAGGGAAAGGGATACATCGGCATTGCGTACGTGAGGTGAGCGAGCATCGGTGGAGGAGTGGATCGAAACAGCTTTGATGCCCATGGAATGCAGGGTCCGGATGATTCGGACGGCGATCTCTCCACGGTTGGCAATAAGAACGGTCTTGATTTCGCGAGTCTTCGGATTACTTCCAAGATGGGAATCCTCAGAGGATAGAGACTCCATGAAGGCACGCCAGCCTCCAAAGGACGTGATGTCTGTAGCACCCTCCAATCCATAGGGTTCACAGATGAACCCAGGAGCCCAGCTTCCGTCGGCTAGCTCGATAGAACCGATACCAAGGGGCGAAGGGACAGTCTTTAAGAAGCTGCCAACCTCCGTCGTGGGTATACTCCAGACTTCGACCTGAATGGCGCTGCCGCCGAGTTGAACGCGCTGTAGACCTGGCTTCTTTACCGTGCCGCCGGTGTCAAGGGAATAGAACTTGTAGCTTGGGGATGTCGCTGTGGCCGTCTCTAGTGTTCCTCCACGAGACGTCAGGTCTTTGTTCAAGGGAAACCCCGTAAGGTGAGCACCTACCACCACAAGACGAGTCGTCTTTGGCTCGCCCGCGGCGATGGCGTCGGATTTCTGTGTCTCAAGTCTCTCAATCTTGGTGGCCCCGAGAGGACGGGGGCCGGTACAAAGCCATTCCCGTGCCAGGGAAAGCAGCTTCGGCTCGTCCCACGTGGATGAGATCAACGTGATGCCAAAGGGGAGTCCATCGGATCTGAAGCCGGCGGGGATCGCCAGGGCGGTCCAGTCCATGAAGTTGACAAAGTTGGTATACGTGCCAAGATAGGCGTTCTCCTTGATCGGCTCATTGGCGAGATCTTCGATAGTTGGGAAGGTGGGGGACGTGGGAACCAGAATAGCGTCAAAGTTGCTAAACCGGTCCTCGATCACGCGGGTCAGCTCCTGACGTAGGTACTCTGATGCAAAAAGGTCCGCGGCGTTGAAGTCCTTGGCTTTTAGGATGATCTCCCGGACGGTGGGGTCCATCTTGTCTTCGTTTGCCTCAATGAAGTCTCTGATAGCGGCGTAACGTTCCGCGACCCAGGGACCCTCATAAAGCAAGCTGGCGAGTCTGAACAGCGGAGAGAAGTCTTTGGGCTCCAGCGTCCAACCAAGGGTCTCGGCCTTCTCCAAGGCTTTTGCGTAGGCTGCAGACTGTTCAGTCTTGCCGAACCATGGAGGGTCATCACAGATGGCCATGCGATGTCCCTCCACCATGCTTGGGGTATCCGGTCGAGCCCTTGAGAACGAGTCTTTGGGGTCCAAGGCCTCGGCTACAGCCAAGATCGTCTCGGCGTCATCGACAGTGAGTGCGAAAATGGATACGCAGTCGAGGCTGCGGCATGCCGGCAGAACTCCAGTTGTGCTGAGGGCACCTCTGGTAGGCTTCACTCCCACAAGGTTATTCAAACCAGCAGGCACACGGCCGCTGCCAGCGGTATCTGTACCAAGAGAAAAAGGGACGACGCCCCTGGCAACGACGACGGAGCTGCCGGAACTCGAACCGCCGCTGACCCTGGCGGGATCAAAGGAGTTGCTTACTGGACCGTAGGGCGATCTGGTACCAACAAGGCCTGTGGCAAACTGATCGAGGTTCGTCTTGCCGAGGACGATAGCGCCGGCAGCCTTGAGACGGGCTATGATTGCGGCATCATGGTCCACGGGGCCATTGGCAAAGCTGGGGCACGCTGCGGTTGTGGGGAAGCTGGCGACGTCAATGTTATCCTTGGCTGCGAAGGGGACGCCGAAGAGTGGTAAGGGAGCACCGGATAAGCGTAAGAATTCGGCGTAAGCCCACTGCTGCTCGATTTGGGACGGGGTGGCCAGGGTTATCCAGGCGTTGGAGTTTAAAGTGGCCTCGGAGTCACGAAGCGACAAGAGTCGGCTAAGGCCGTCCCCAGCTTCTTGAGCCTCTCTCCATTCCGGAATAGTGAGAGGGAAGGTATCTTGGGTAGTGGAGCCTATAAGAGAGTGTAAGCCCCGTGTTCATATGTGTAAGGTATCCATGTACCCCTTAAGCGATCGGTATGACCCGATCCAGAAGCACAGGGCAAGAGGGTGACATCAACGCACCCATAGTATTATGTGCCAAAAATTGTCAAAATAGATTAAAACGACGTCGTATGGAAAAGACTGCTCATGCTCAATGCTGCTTGTCTCTAGAGAAAGATATTACCGATAGCACTGGATCTTAATCTCTTTTTATGATCAAACGTCACTCGTTCAAGGTGTAAGTTCATGAGTGAGGCCGTCGTCCTGCTCAGATGTACTCATCGGCGAAGCCTGCGGGCAGTCATGAAGGTTGCCGGCGGGGCCTGGTGTAGTCGTCGTTGATCCATCCAATTCTTTCAGAACGGGCGTTGTTCAGAAGATGGCCGATCCAATGATGAGGACGGTACCGGCTTATCAAAGCGATTGTGATACTGTGAGACAGACAGGTGTGTGCGAATAAGGTAGAGAGGAAGAGCAGCGATAGGGGGTGGATCGGCCGAGTGGACGGATAACGTAGACCTTGGGGAGATGGTGGTGCGTCGTGGGGGTATCATTCGTGATCTTGGCTAAGGTGTCTGTCTATATCTGTAGATATTCTATTTTCTGGGGATATTTGCGACAGAGCTCGGCCAGCCCGGCGGCTGTGGGGTTGAGAGAGGGCCGCCGGCCGGTGAAGTTGACTGTTTGGATGTCGCTGTTGAAGATACCAGACCGTCGCAGCTGGTACCATCTGCAACAGAAGACCGAGTGTCAATCTGAGACGTCCTGCAGGATTACCTAATTTTGGACGCTGATTAATTTGCGGGGCAGGGCTCGGGGGTCCCCGTTTGGAGATTGCTGTAGCTTGGCATCGAGGCGTCCGGGAGAGGGAATGATCCTCCCAACACACCTACGGAGTACGAATACCTAGCAAGGTGCCTTAGGTAATACTCCATACCAACCCACCCAGTGTTGCCACAACGTGGCACAGTCTGCCGTGCGCCTGTCAGACACCCGCGCTCTCGGCTGTCGCGTCTCTTCGCACGGATCAAAGTGGAGACCGAGACGGATTTCTCGCTTTCGCTGGGAAAAGACAAAAAAAAAAAAAGAGACGTGCCTCCGCCCACCATGACTCCTCCAAGATCCATCATCCATGGCTGTGGACGGGGAAGCGGAGACGAGACGAGAGCGTTCGCTTCCTTCCGATACACTCAGCCTTTTTTTTGGTCCTGGCCAGTGTTCCTTTGCCCCTCTCACTCAAACAAAAGCTTACGTCGTCTCATCTCACTCATCTCAACATTTCCACGCCAACGCTCCCAAGCCGTCACGGCAGTGTAGGCTTTCAACACCCGCTACCTGCTTACAACGGCTGCCAAGACCGACTTGAGGATTCACAAGTGTGGGTTCCCAGGCATTCTGTGACGAACTCTCGCGTGGCTTGGGCAACTTTCGAAAACGAGAAAGCGAGAACGGGGACTGGACGACCGCGTCTGAATAGCCGCCTGTTGACCAGGTCGACGATGTTTCTTAGACCACCTAACAAGCGCACTCACACTCTGGTACTAGTGTATCACCTACCGCCGACCTACCTTATTGTCAACTGTCCCGTGACTACGGAAGTTCTTTCGCTCTCTCTCCGTCTATCCGCCAGTCTGCCTACCTACCTTCTTGCTCACCGTCTTTCTGCTCGGAAATGGCGAGGGATTCATTACTCCAAAACGTCCCCGGTCGTACAACCAAATAGACGCCGCTTCGGGCAGACAGCCGACGGCCCCGCCATCGTCATTGGCCAATCTGCAGGGATGCGACTCGAGTCGACAAGGATCCCATCTGAGCCCGGCGCTTGCGCCTCTTCCCCATCACATATGGCTGCCCAAAATAGCCAACCAGAACTGGAGCTGCCTGCGACGAGGGGGTGTCGTCCTGCGTGCGACGCATTCCTTCCTTCAATCGCGTCTATTGTCTGTTCCTCCAGTCACACTGCATTGCATATATGTCTGTCTAGCGGCGCCTCTCCAGACGTCCAGTGTCCTCTAGAGTCCAGAATCCAGCTTGGATAACCCCTCCCCAGTGCCCCCCTCACACAGATACCTAAGAACGAAACGACCAACTCTAAGCGTTGCACCACTTCCAACCTAATCTATATAGCCGCCATCGCCCTCTTCCCTACATCTCACCACTTGCTGATTTCCCCCCTCTTTCTGAACTGATTTGTCTCATCCCGGTGATTCCAACAGTTCGGGAGGCTAAGGTCGTCACTTGACCCCTGTGCGACCCAATCTGCTGGCTATCCAGGCTGAGCCGCAGACTCATCAACTTATACCACTCTTCCGGGTTTCGACATTGGCACATCACGTGGTCACCATGGCTACTCAGACTGGAACCGCCTCACGAAGGCCAAAGTTGTCGTTGAGCATCAAGACATCACCGGCACCTCACACAAGAATCAACAAGTCCTTGTCCGTCATCGATCCCAAGGACCCGACCACCTTCAACACCCTCTCCAACGTCTACGTGACCGCCATTGAGAGGTCGACACCCACCGCAGCAGAACCGCTCACGGCCATCAACACATCCCAATCACAGCCCTCGCAGTTGCACAATGGCTCAAAGACACCCCAGCTCCGCATCCAGACGCCGTACGCAGTCTCCTACCCGGAGACCCCGTTGACCGCACACCCTCTTTCGCCCGGCGTCGCAATGGAGATCACCTTTCCGAGTACCATGACCGCCACCCCGCCTCTCTCCGCCGGCCCCGTAGAGCCCAACCAAGGTCCCCAGATGTTTGGCTTCTCGCCAATCGACACTAGGACGCCGCTGACGGCCACCGGACTCATCACGAACTTGCCAGAGCCGCGCTCGCAAAGGAAGCGTAACAATAACCTGACCCTCGCGGGCTCAAAGCTGCCGTACACCCACCCCCGCTCCCTCCACAGCATCCTCCGCAACTCGCCTCTACCTCCGCCAAGCGCAAAGACACCCATCTCACCCCGCCGGCAGTCCCTGCGCTTGCAAGAGAAGGCGGCCCGCCGCGTGGCCTACAACAGTCCCATCGAGCAGACAATCACAACAGAAACATACACAAAGTCACATATTGACCTGCTCGTCGAGGACGTCGTTTCCCCTGCATCACCGGCAGCAGTGGCAGCAGCAGCGGAGACGGCACTGGCATCAGCGCCGGCCCAGGAGGAGCAAAACACGGTGCTGGACCTCGCCATGGCCTTCACGAGCGACGAGACCCGCGACGGCGGCATGACGCCAGGCCCGTTTGAGGAGATGCGGCGGCGGATGGCGGGGCTGGCGGCCAACTCGCCACCGGTCAGCCCGTCTGGCGGCATTAGGAAGCGGACCAAGCGCAAGGAGAAGAAGCGGCGGTGGGTGTGGACGATTGGGAACCAGGAGGAGGACGAGGAGAATCTGGGCGGTGCCGTGGCGGCTTTGCGGGCGGCCGAGGCGGCAGCGGCGGCGGCGGCGGCACAGACACCGCGGACGGCACAGACACCGGTGTTGTCGGTCCCTCGGAGGAAGCCCGTGGCTGCTGTGGCTGCTCCCCCTCCGATCGTGGAGGTGCAGACCTGCGGCGATCTCCCGACGCCTAGCGTCGAGACATTTGAGGAGGCTGCTTCTGGGGAAGATGTTGAGATGTCGGATACGAGTAGCGTCTCGTACTCGTTTTCCGATCGGGGTTTGACGCCGGGGGATATGGAGATTGATCTGACGACGCCGACTGTGCCGAAGCGTCTCGTGTCACAGTGCGACAGGCTGGGCTCGGCGGATCTGATTAATCCGGAGACTGGGAGTCGGCGGGATACGCCGATACCCCCGGATATGGTTGTCCATTGATGGGGATTACCAAGTTACCTTTCAAGGGGGGTGAGCTGGAGTGGGATCTAATTTGGAGACACTTGAGAAATTGCATCTGCGTGGTGTTCAGGGAGCGAATTCTTGAAAAATGGTGGTTTCTTTTGTAGGATTATGTACATGTACCGGCTTAAGGGGTTAATGAGGAACACGACGCACTATGAACCATATCCTCGGTAATCTTGATCGATTGCGCCGTGATGTTCCTCCTCGTGTTCCTCCGCATGTTCCAGCCGTGGACTACCTAGCAAGACTGGGAGGAGCAATTGTTTCCGGACACGCAGAGGATGCTGCCACTTGGGAGCTCGGACGTAAGGTGGCGCGAACTTGTGGCGGCCAAAAAGAACGGCCTAGCCAGCGGACGAGTTCATAGAGGTTCGACCAACAACCCTTGCCTATTAGTAAGAGACCAGACCAACAAACTGCAACGAAGCGATGAACGGAAGGTTGAAACGCCAAATAGATGATGATCTAAACCTCGCGATGCGACAGTGTAAGCCTGCACGCCTGGCATTGTCGATATTGTCGACAATTCTGTTGCTTGTGTAACAGCAAAGGTGATCGAAAAGCGGGGAGTGATGATGAAAATGTGGACCGACGGAAAGCTGAAGCTTGGCTTGCGTAAGATCCGGCAAGATGGTTTATTTTTGCTCATCGTCGTTTATCCTCCTCCCGCCGGCCGGGACAAGCGGCACCCCATGTCCCATCCATAACCCATGTCCAGTGAGCCGCCCCGAAAGGTTTGCGATAGACTGACCTCACACATTTGGGACCAACCTGGACGACGATCAGGATATCTTTGAGCCGCCTCGGCTTGATGGTGTTTGCGTTGTTGGCTTCTCTGAGACGAAAATATTAATACACTTCAGAATAGACTCTCTTATGTATATCTCTCTCCTCAACTGAATACGAAGTAGGAAGATAAGCATATGAAGCCCACAAAACCAACAGACAGTCACCAGCCGGACCAAACGTTCCCCCTCATCTCCAGCTGTCAAGCTCAAATTGGGATGGAGTGAGCTAGCCATAAAGCCAAGGGCCGGGTGAAGGCCAATGAACACGCGGCCCAGACAGTACCTATTGTTTTCCCTCCCCCGGTGCCCCCCCAGCCATGTACGCAAGCACATGTTGCGATCCCTACTGCAGATCGGCCACAAGCTTGTCGCATCGTTTGTCACGCAGTCCATCGAAACATTGCAAAAAAAAAAAAAACAGGAATTGGGCACAGGCAACTCAGATAAATAGTAGTGTAGGGCGGGAATGCTGATTTCCCGCCTAAAGCCATGCACGCACGGCACCAATTCAGCAGTCAATAATCCAGAAGGGGGGCTGTTGGTCTGGCTAGGCCTCACTCATTAGGGCCATTGAGCATGGAGCGTTCCAGCCACGGGTGGCAGCAGGTGGCAGGAGGCAGAGAGAATCCTACCGCGTCTCTAGTCCTGACAACTTTGCTCGCAGGAATGTTTGTGGCTGCCCTTTTACATGATCATGTCAATCCGTGTAGGCCCAGCCAGCAAAGTTACCTTAATTATGGAGCGACAGCGTACAATAAGGTAGGCACGGAAAGAAAGCGCAAGGCAGGGCAGGTCGGGGCAAGAACGCAAAAGTGACGGGGGACGCTTGGGCCAGGTCAAAGTACCCGAGACTTCTTCCGTCATAGGGGCCTGCAAGGAGCCGGGGGCTTGCTTCGGGGGGTGGGGCCGCGCCTGCTGTTAGTGGACTTTTCCCGCCATCAAAGTCGCAAGTTCGCAAGACACGCTACGTCATTGACCATCACAGCTTCCAGCCTGGCTATCCAACAGTCCAAGAGGGGGGGAACTACAGCTGAAAGGACTACTAACCCAAGGTATTCATGGTGAAGCGAGCTTAGTACTAACTAGCTGGCTAGAGCTGAAGGGGAGCTATGAGGCAATTGGAGGGGCTCGTTTCCCATCCATTTCATGGATTGCCGGTTCCCTTTTCCCCCTTGCCCTGCTGGCCTGCTGGACGATCTGCATCCCTATGATTATATCTCTATCCCCCGAGAACGTAACCTCCGCACATCTCAATCTTGGCTGCTCGATTCTTTCCTCTGCCCAATTCTCTTTTACCCTTTTTCGTGTTTTATCCAAACACTAGGTAATTGATTTGGATCTTGACAGCGTAGTCTCAGCTACGACTGGTCTATAACCTTCATCCACAACCAACATACCAGGAGAATATCGTTCATGGTAGCAAGATGAACTACGACGAACACACGGTGCCGACCGGCGGCCAGCACTACAGCGGCCGGAACCGCATTCCAAACATCCACGAGTTCGTCGCCCAGCTCGACAAGGAGAAGCGCGAGCGCGATGCTGCCATTGAGGCTGAGGACAAGGAGCACGCGAGGATCTCCAAGGAAGCTGCCCGCCAGCAACACGGCAATGGTGATGCCACACAGCAGCAACAAGAACAAAATTTCCAAGACACAAAGGATCATGTCCCCGAGAAACCGAAAGGAGCTCGCAAGAAGACCAAGACAGTACGGGATCCCGTCACTGGCAAGGATGTCGAGATTGAGAATCCCAAGGAAGATTTCAAGGAAGTAGTTGAAGATCCCAAGGTAAGGCCATCCCGCAATCCGTTTGTTTCTCACGAGCATCCAGCCCTGCTCTTGGACAATGCTAAATCGTCAATTGGCAGATATCCGTTCCCAACCAGAACCTCGGAAAGGAAGCCACAGTCTCCACTAATCCTGACCAGTCTGGCGAGGAGTACCGATGGGCCCAAGATGTCACAGCACCGCCAGACCCCGTCGAGCCTGGAAGCACCACCGACGTGCCAATTCACAGCGAGAAGACCAATGTCAACTTCTTCCACACTCCCAGCGTCAGCTACGAGCCCATGTTTGAGCATCTCGAGAGACGAGGCAACATTCTGTGCGCTGGCATCTTCTTCAGTATCGTCATCGTGGGCAAGTTCTTTGGTGGCGCGCTCTACGGCCTGCTTCCTCTCGCATTTTGCGTCGCCTCTGGTGTCTTTTTGTGGATAAAGGACCTCATCACGCAGGGAAGAAACACGGAATGGTCTAGTGAGCAGGCGCGTGGCGAAACCGCAACCGTCAATCTGGTACCCGAGTCGGTCGAGGTGCGTGATACCAATTTCTGCACAGTGATAACATGACGCTAACAAAGCCCAGTGGATGAACACCGCCGTTGGCATCATGTGGAATCTCATTAACCCTGAGATGTTTGCCGGCGTTGCTGATACTCTCGAGGATGTCATGGTTGCCTCAGTGCCCGGCGTCATCGAGAACGTGCGCGTTGCCGACATTTCGCAGGGCAGCAATCCGCTCCGCATTCTCAGTTTGCGCGCCCTTCCCGATAGCCATGTCAAGGACATCAAGGACGAGGCCCACAAGCAGAACCAGAAGAACACCGACCCCAACGAACTTGCTGCCATGGAACAGGCTGGTGACTTCTACAACCTGGAAGCCTCAGTTGCCTACCACGCGAAACCCTCTGGCTCTGACGTTTCATCCAAGGCCCGCAACATGGGAATGCAGCTGGTCTTCTACCTCGGTGTTCGAGGTCTCTTTGGTGTTCCCCTCCCAATTTGTGAGTGCATCAAAGACTTAGTGTACTGGCATTGTCTAACAACTTGTAGGGGTTGAACTTCAGGGACTTGTTGCCACCGCCCGCATCAGACTTCAGCTTACCCCTGAGCCGCCTTTCCTCAAGACCCTCACTTTCACTTTGATGGGAATTCCCAAGGTCCAGGCAGGTTGCACGCCAATGATTGAGAAGGGAGTCAACATCCTCAACTTGCCCCTTATCTCCAACTTTGTCAACTGGGCCATTGGTACCGCCGCTTCAATGTACGTCGCTCCCAAGAGCATGACTCTTGACTTGAGCAAGATGCTGCAGGGTGACGACATCAAGAAGGAGACGCTTGCGCTTGGCCTCCTGTTCATCCGTATCCACAAGGCGACGGGTCTCAGTAAGCAAGACCGCCGTGGTAGCGAGGGCGGAGGCTCAGACCCCTACATCACCGTCGCCTGGAGCAAGTTCTCGAAGCCCCAATTCTGCACCCGTGTCATTCAAGATGATCTCAACCCTGTCTTTGAAGAAAGCTGCGGCCTTTTGGTCACGGCTGATTTGATCAAGGCGGATGAGCAACTTTCGGTCGAGCTTTGGGACAGCGATCGCTCTTCTGCAGACGACGTCGTCGGCAAGGTCGAGCTGAGCATTCAGAAACTCATTCAGCACCCCGGCAAAATGTTCCCTCAGGTTTCCAAGCTTGCTGGTGTCAAGGCCGAGACCTCGATGCCTGGTGAGCTGCACTGGGAGGTTGGTTTCTTTGGCAAGACTCAGTTCCGCAAGGCCCTCCGCACTGACGGTAAGGATGTCAACTTGCCTCCTGAATTGAGAGACAAGAAGGAGCTTCAGGACGAAAAGGGCACGATTGAAAATGACATGGAGGATGCTGTCGAACACACTCCTCCCGACCCTCTCTGGCCTTCTGGTATCCTCAGCATCGTCGTCCACCAAATTGTGGGACTGGAGCTCGCCAATGTCAAGGGTTCCAACGGCAAGCGCAAGGGACGCGAGTACGAACCCGCCCGTCTCGATGCTGGCGAAGTCAAAGAGGAGCAAGGCAGCAAGCTGCCTAGTTCCTACTGCACGATTCTCGTCAATGATGAGCTGATCTACAAGACACGTACCAAGGCTGTGTCCTCGCAGCCCATCTTCAACGCCGGTACCGAAAAGTTCATCCGGGACTGGAGGTCTGGCATCGTGACAATCACCGTCCGCAACTCCCGCAACAGACAACACGATCCCATCATCGGCGTGGTCCCTCTCAAGCTGTCTGATATCTTGCGATCCGGAAGTGAAGCCACAAGATGGTACCCTCTTGATGGCGGAGTTGGATACGGAAGAATCCGTATTTCCCTTCTCTTCAGGTCCGTTGAACTGCGTCTGCCTCCTGCTCAGCTTGGCTGGGATGTGGGTACGTTCCAATTCACTTCGCAAGAAATCACTGCCGCTGGCTATGGCAAATTGAAGACCAAGATCCGCCTTCGCACCGGTGGCAGCTCCGCTAGCGTCAAGCGGGACGCTTGCAACAAGTTGGAGGACCAAGACGGCTACTCCTGGAACATCAGTGGCGAGGATAAACATGAGAAGATTCGTCTTCCTGTTCGTTTCCGCTACAGATCTCCAGTCTTCTTCGAGTTCTACCCTCCTGGAAAGCGCCATGCCGATGCTTTCGCGTCTTTGTGGCTTCAAGACTTCCCGGATTGCGAGGAACGTGACTTTGACATTCCCATCTTCAACTGCGACAAGGGTCTGCGTCTGTCACAGAACTACATCAACCAGGATAATTTCAAGGACATCCCCGACATGAAGATTGAAGAGGTGGGCCGACTCAGATTCAGGGGCCGCTTCTCCACTGGTACCGATGGTGATCACGTCAAGTTTGTCACCGACAACGATTCGCGTGAGACAATTGAGACTTGGGAAGCCTGCTACGCGGAAGGAGTACGAGGCGAAGAGGTCCAAGCCGAGGTGCCCCCCGCAGTTCAGAAGCTGCATGACGAGTCTCTCACTCAAGGACGCGATGTCCTTGCCCAGACTGATTCCAAGGAGAAAGGGAAGTGGCTCTCCAAGGACGGAACCGATTGGAGTACTGCCTTTGGAAAAGATCCCACACAGATGATGGGTGGCGATAATGAGAATCAGGAAGATCTGAACTCGGAGGGACGCGATGATTTCGACACGGATTACGACGACGACGATAACAGCAGTGAGCCGGATCTCGGACTCACAGACGCCAGCACCAAAGACACCAGAGAGGGCAGCAATGGCACACGGCAATCGACAGACAGCAACGCAAGTGCGGCGCCCTCAGACGCATCTCAGAAAAGCGGCAGCGGACCTGTCGCAGCATACAAAGACTACAAGAGCAGGAGCAGAGACCTGCACCGTCAGCATCGGGGTCTGATGCAGTGGCGTCCAATGCGTAATGTGCAGTTCGCCAAGGATGAGGCCAAGTTTGCGATCCGGAAGATTACCAAGATGGGTGCTCTCAACGGTCGCAAGCCCGACGTTGAGACCGAAGTCTAGGTTCCTTGATTTGAAGAGAACTGGGGGACACGAGGACGTGTCAAAAAGGGATTACAGGAAAGGGGTAATGGACGTGTCTGACGGCCTTGAATAATGTTTTATGAAGTATAACCTACATGAAACAAATTGCAATGATCGGGAGGGAGGCGTTTGGAGGTGTATTAATAGTCAAAGCAGGCAAATCACAGTTTTGAATGATTCCTCGAGTGTGAAAATTTTCGTGCAAATCGTGAATCTCAGGCTTACAGTGAGTCCATCATTGGTATGCCAATCCATCGTACGTCTGTTGTGATTCGGCATGATGGGCCATCTCGCCGACGGGGAAGCACACTTGGCGCCGACGGTCCTTCAACAGACACTCACAGCAGCTAAGCCAAGCTGCTCGGCCTTTTGCGACTGCCACCGCGTAGCAAACCTTGACCTAGCGGAAGGAGTTCCCGAAGTAAAACTCCAAAACTTTAGCGTTGATGGTTCACGGTGCTCCGGCGCGCACCGAATCGTCCCCGGCCCGTTAACACCACGGATGAAACGGCCGAAGACCCACAATCCGGCCGGAGCAGTCGGTGACCAACCACGAGCGCCGAGATGATGTCGGCAACAAACATGTCATTAACAGAACACACGATCTGGAGTAAGGGGAGGCGTTTTGTTTTGTCTCAAAGTTGATGTTCAATATAAAATAGCCAACATCTCACTTTCATTCCGATAGTTCCCTGACCCACCATCCAGCTTCTTCTTGCATCGCCGTTTACAAACATTCATCTACATCCTACAAGATGGGGTCTCACGCCAACGAAACACCAGTTTCTCTACATTTCGAACCCATCGAAAACCCAGCAGCAAAAGACGCACCCTACTACACCCCATCCCAATCTCCCCCCGCCGGCACAGCCATCCTCCCACCATCACCAACCTCCTGCTCCTCCTCCTCCCCTCTCCCCAAACTCTTCACCCCCCTCACAATCCGCTCCCTCACCCTCCAAAACCGCCTCTTCCTCGCCCCCCTCTGCCAATACTCCGCCGACCCCACCGCCGGAAACCTCGCAACAGACTGGCACCTAACCCACCTAGGCGGCATCCTCCAACGTGGGCCCGGCCTCGCCCTCATGGAATCCACCGCCGTCGTACCGGAAGGCCGCATCACCCTGCAAGACCTAGGCCTCTGGTCCGACGCCCAGATCCCGCCCCTCCGCCGCATCACTGCCTTCGCGCACGCCCAAGGACAGAAAATCGGTATTCAGCTGAGCCACGCCGGCCGGAAAGCGAGTACCGTCGCGCCCTTTATCCACGCCAACGCGACCTCTTCGAAAGGAGTAGGCGGCTGGCCGGAGGAAGTCTACGCCCCCTCCGCCCTCCGCTTCAACGAAGTATACCCCCTCCCCAAAGCCCTCACCCTGGCGCAAATCAACGATATCAAGACCGCCTTTGTAGACGCGGCCCTACGCGCAGTACAAGCCAACTTCGACGTTGTCGAAATCCACGCCGCGCACGGGTACCTCCTCCACCAATTCCTCAGCCCCATCGCCAACATCCACACCGACGCCTACGGCAGCGGCTCCTTTGCAAACCGCACCCGCCTGGTCCTCGAAATCGTCGAACTCGTGCGCGCCGCGATCCCGCAGGGCATGCCGCTCCTTGTGCGCATCAGCGCGACGGATTGGTTCGATGACAGGACGGACGTGGTCCCGCGCAGCTGCACGCTCGCGGACTCGTGCAGGCTCGCGCCGCTTCTCGCGGATCGGGGCGTCGATTTGCTGGATGTGAGTTCGGGGGGGGTTCATCCCGCTGTAGGCGACGAGTATCAAGGGTGGGCCGGGGTACCAGGCTGGGTTTGCAAAGGAGATTAAAAAGGTTGTGGGTGGGATTAGCACGGGTACCATGGCGGAGGGGTTGCTTCAGGACGGGTTGGATGTGGTGATGTGTGGGAGGTGGTTCCAGAAGAATCCTGGGTTGGTGTATGCGTATGCCGATGAGTTGGGTGTCAAGGTGAAGATGGCGAAGCAGATTGGATGGGGTTTTAGTGGGCGTGGAAAAGGGGAGAAGTGAGTGATGGCCTCCATTTTGATGGCTTGGATCTGATCTACGAGCGCTAGTTAGACGTTGATGTTCCACAAACGTAGATATTTGTAGATTGGAAAGCGTTCACTATTTCACACGCAATGATGTTATAGGAACATGCATGGCCATCGTCTCTTCTATCAAAGTGATTTACGGGTATCCCAGAGACGAAACACAAAACACAGTAGCAAAAAAAATACAAACATGCGTGCTATGTAGCCAAACCCCGAAGCAAATCTCTCCCCCTTTTTTGATATACCAACCCAAGTTTCGCCAGCCAAAACCAAATCATTGTACATGTGTTCCCTTTCTACATAGTCTCATAAGCCACATCCCGCCCCGTCTCTCCAAATCATCCGTCTCATACCTCTCAAATCTTCATTTCCGCAGAAGCCCGAACAGCACCCAACCCGCCAACATCAGCCTCCAACATCCGCAACGCCTCCCTCGCAAACGGCGCCGCCTGCGCCCGGACGCGCAGGCTCCAGAGGTACTCCTCGACGCGGTCGGCGTAGTACATGGCCTCGGCGTCGTCGTCCGAGGTGGCCCACAGCAGCCCCGCAAAGGAACCAATGGCGGCGAGCTGGGCGGAGGCGGCGAAGCCCCAAAAGGATTGGATGTGTTCCATTTGGAGTCCGCCGATGATGTTGGAGGCGTTTGCGAGGCGGGCGCGGGCGCCGGTGCGGATTGCGTGGCGGAGGGAGTCGGGCGCGTTGGAGGAGATGTTGCGGACGAGGGAGCGGTGGAGGGCTAGGTCTATTGAGATGTAGGAGAGGTGGAGGGAGCCTATGGGGTGTTGTTTAGTAAATGCCTTTTCGCCATGCTTTTCAGCGAACAGAGGGGGAAGAACGAGAGAGGGAAGGGGGGGATAGGAGGCCCACCGTTTGCAGAAAGCTTCTTAAGACGCGTCTCTTGAAGCTGGAGGGCTTCGGGGAGCTTTGCGTACCACTCCCTGAGCATCATGACAATGGGTTTCGCGAGCTCGGCGACGCCCACGGTGCCGACCTGGTCGAGAGTGCCGCCGCGGCGGGTCGCTTTTGCCGTGTAAAACGTGCCGAGCACGTCGCTGAGGATGAGAGACAGCTCAATCTGCCGCAGGAACAGCTCGCGCCCGACAACGACCTCGGCGCTGCCCTCGGGGTCATGCTCCTCGTCGGCGGCGTTCTCGGGGAAATCCTCGATACAGCACGGCCGGACGTCCCAGTCCTCGTCGAGGCGGATGTGCGAGGGTCGGCCGTGGACGAGGGCGCCCCATTTGTCCTGCATGAACAGGGCCCAGGCGAGGCGGCGGCGCAGGCCCTTTTCCCAGTCTGGGATGGCCCAGTCGCTGCAGTCGACGTGGAGGCCTAGCCCCTGGCCAAGGGCGATGAGCTGCGCCGTGAAGGTCCAGGTGTTGTTGCGGAAGCGCTGCTGGATGAGGAGGCCGGCTTGGAGGGTGGAGATTTTGGGACGCTTCATGTCGTCGCTCATTGTGCGGAGGGCGAGGGCCTCGAGGGCGGCTTGGTCGGGCTGCCATGAGGAGGTGGCGAGGGTGCGGTCGTACAATGACCAGTCGAGGGCTAAGAGGTAGACGGCGGCGAGGAGGGGCGGGGAGAACTCATGGTAAGAGCGGGCGTACTTTTCTAGAAAGACCTTTTTATGGAGGATGGGGAAGCTGGGGTGGACGATACGGAAGTAGAGGTTGACGAGGGTTGAGCCGAGCGGGTGGACGACCTTTTCTATGGCGTCGAGGTCGGCTATTCGTTGGGGTTCTGACGAGGTCTCGCGGTCGCGGTGGATGAGGAAGACGGTTGAGTCGTCGAGGCGGCGGACGAACCTGACGGCCGGGTCTTGGGGACGGTGGAGGTCCAGGAGGGAGGGTTCCCGGTAGTCTGTGTTGCCGACATATTGGGAATGGGTCTTGAGATGGAGACCGAGGGTGCCGTCTAGGAGGGAGACGGGCTGGTTGAAGGTTACGTGATGTTCTGAGCCTGCGAGAGACGGTGACAGGGCCTCAAGCAGTTCGGGAGACGGATGCCTAGAGGTCCGTTAGACCGGGTTACTTGAGGGAGAATGAGATGGTTTACTGGGCAAGGGAGCGTGTGAAAGGGACGAACAGGTGTATGAGGACAGACCCGTGACACTGGGCAGCCAGGAGAGGTTAATGGCATGAGCCAATGAGAAGGGGGCAAGGAGACTATTCAGGAAGGACGAGGTACAGTGATACAAGGAGACATGGGAAAGGTAAAGGTAAAGGTAAGGTAGGCCAGAGAATCGAGACCAGTCCCGATGGCAGTTCAAGACGAAGATGAAGGTACGATAAGAAAAATGTCACATCACTTACGTTATCTCCTCCTGGGGATCCAGCGGGACGGGAGCAGGTGGAGGACCTGAGGTTGCAGAGACGGAACCATTGGTCGAGGGGCGATGTTCCGGGGGATCGGTGGCCTTCCGGCGCTTGCGCGGGAGCGGCCCGCGGAGATATGTGCACGGCTGGCCGTGAAAGGAGCACATGACGCACTTATCGCGGCCCTCCTCGCGGACGCAGCGCGTCTTGCGCTGACGACATATGTCACAGGGTCGACTCTGGGCGGTGCCTGCGGCATTCGAGGCCCCCAACGCTGCCTGTGCTGCTGTCTGGCCGACGGCGGCTGCTGCAGAGGGTTGTGACTCGAAGGAGGGGATGTGGGCTGACGGCGAGGAGGCCGGCATGGTCGTTGAACCGGGGCCGGCGGTGGCGGGGTCGCCGTAGGGCGCCGGTGTGGTGTCCATGTCCATGACGGGCAGGCGGGTTGCGGGCGGGCGGAACCGGGCGACAGCCGAGCCGAGCGCGGGGGCGTGCGTGTGGTGCGTGCGGTGCGTGTAAAGATAAGGAAGGGGATGACGGGTGTGAACGGTTACGCAAAGGTTGTGATCAAATTGGGTTGGTGCCGGGTTGTGCGAGAAGTGAAATTCGAGATTGGGTAGGTACGTAGTAGTATGGAGTAGGGAGGTTGTTAGATGGAGGGAAGTGGTCACGTAAAAGCAGTGACACACATGAAAGACGATGCGTGATGGGCTGCCAGAAAGGAAAATAAAAGGGAAGACTTCCCCGCTGCCGAAGAAGGAAGATTTTGGTGTGAGCCCCCCGGTTCAGCCTCTCTCTCTCTCTCTCTCCCTCAGACGGGATACGTGAACGTCAACGCTCTGCCTCTGGTGGTGCCAATTGCTGGGGAGAATGAGCAGTTATGGCACAGTAGCCATGAGGCTGATCAATCAAGACTGAGCTGAGCTGCAAGCGAGTGTCATGGACCTGTCTGTCGGTAAAAGTACCTTGGCCCGGCCGAGTGGTTGACTTTCTGTCTGGGTTCCTATGATGAGAGTACTCTGTATGTAGTCCTCCGTCCTTCAATGGACCCCACGGTTACTCGAATCTGGGGTTGATCGTCTGCTCGAACACTCAGACAGTGAGACAACTTCTGGTAGTAGGACCTTATCGCCGGGGTCGTGTCGTCTGATTCGGCCGGGCTGGGCTGGGCGGCTGCGTGCTGCTCACTGCTGTTATCGCAAAGCCTGGTCGGAATATTTCTCATCGCTAAGTCTTCGTTCCAATTGTGAAGGTACAAAGTTACGGATAAGATAAGATATCCGAACGCTGTGCGGGATAAGTGAAAACTGGGGTGGGGAGGCAGAGAAAGACTAGCCGGATACATCTGGAGGTACTTCCGAGTATCCTCACATGAGTAGATTTGTTGAGGATACATCATGATACAAAACTGCTCAGTGCAATTCCCCGTAGCCCCATTACGTCCCCTGCCAGCGGCGTTGCCGGCTACGCGGACGCGGACTGGTCGGACTGCTGACAGCTCCCGGTCCCCCAAACTTGGAGAACACGGTGCCCACTGCCACACTGCCAGTCGAGGTACGTACCCCGTCTGAGGTCAGGTAAGCTCCAGCTTGCAACGTCGACGGAACGAGAGCCGACTCTAGACGCCTACCTTACCTTACTTTCTCTACGGATACAACCTTTGACAACCAAAACCAAAGGGACACGACATCTACAACCTTAGCCTAGGTTCACCACAATCCACGACGCCGAAACGACCACAACGAGCACCCGCTTCTTCAAATAACCGCCTCAAACGACGCCACGATTCGCGATCCCTTTCGCCTTCTCTTCGCCAAACCCCCTTTCTGTCTCCACGGAAGATGACATCGCAATAACTTACAATGGCCAAGGCCCCAAATCATGGAGCCCACCAAGACGACTCCCACCTCCCGGGCGCCGTCGCCGCCCATTCCCACCACAGCCCGAGCGAAGAGGACAGAGGCCTCCTCGCCGACGATCCCCTCTCTCCGCACCACCATGAATCTCACGGCGCCGGCACAACCACCACCACCACCACCACCAGCGACGAGGGGTACTTTGTAGCAGCAAAGCAGTACGCCACATCCCTCCGATCCCCCGGCACCCCCCGGACCCCGAACCGCGTCCGCTTCAACCCCATCCCCTCCATCGTCGAGCCGCCGCCCCCGCGCGCCTCAATGACCAACAGCAACGGCGGCTCATCCGCCCGCGCAAGCCGCGACAGCTTCGACGTCGACGACGACCTCTTCCACCACGCCCCCGGCGCAGACGAACACGATGACCATCACCTCCTGCCCCTCCTCACAGACATTGAGGCCCCCTCTGTCACCCTCGCCAACAGCCCCTGGGGCGAGGACGCCGACGACGTACACGAATGGGCCGAGCAGGAGCGCGCGAGGCCCAAATCGGGTCTGAAGATGGCGTTCATGAATATGGCCAACTCCATCATTGGCGCCGGCATCATCGGCCAGCCCTACGCCTTCAAGCAGGCCGGCTTGCTGGCCGGAATCATTCTCCTCGTCGGCCTCACCGTCGTTGTGGACTGGACCATCTGCCTCATCGTCATCAACAGCAAGCTGTCGGGAAGCAACAGCTTCCAGGGGACCGTCGAGCACTGCTTCGGCAAGACGGGGCTCATTGCCATCTCAGTCGCGCAGTGGGCGTTTGCCTTTGGCGGCATGGTTGCCTTTGGCGTCATTGTCGGCGACTCAATACCTCACGTCTTCACGGCCATCTGGCCCGATATTCGGGAAATGCCCGTGTTCCACCTCTTGGCGAACCGGCAGGTGGTCATTGTAGTCTTCATTTTGGGAATCAGCTACCCGCTGACCCTGTATCGCGATATTGCAAAGGTGAGTCGACTCTTGCAAGGACCAGGAGCGGCCAAACTGACATGATACTTCCCATTTATAGCTGGCCAAAGCAAGCACATTAGCTCTCATAAGCATGGGCGTCATCGTAGCGACTGTCATCATTCAGGGAGCTCTCACTCCCAAAGCTGACCGGGGTTCCTTCACACCCGCCCTTCTGACCGTAAACACTGGCATATTTGAAGCCATTGGCGTGATTTCTTTCGGTTCGTCCAACTCCTCGTGCTTAACAAACAAAAAAACTTTTCTTTGCTAACGGGAAACCCCCCCTCCCCTTAGCATTCGTATGCCACCACAACTCCCTCCTCATCTATGGCTCCCTCAAAACCCCCACAATAGACCGCTTCTCCCGCGTAACGCACTACTCAACCGGCATCTCAATGGTCGCCTGCCTCCTCGTCGCCCTCGCCGGCTTCGTCACGTTCGGCGACAAGACCCTCGGCAACGTCCTCAACAACTTCCCCTCGGACAACGTCATGGTCACCATTGCCCGGCTCTGCTTCGGCCTCAACATGCTCACCACCTTACCCCTCGAGGCCTTCGTCTGCCGCGAGGTCATGTTCAACTACTTTTTCCCGGGCGAGCCCTTCAACATGCACCTCCACCTCATCTTCAGCTCCGCCCTCGTCGTCTCCGCCATGGTCATGAGCCTGCTCACCTGCGACGTCGGCGCCGTCTTTGAGCTCGTCGGCGCCACGTCCGCGTGTGCGATTGCGTATATCCTTCCGCCACTTTGCTACATCAAGCTCACCACCCGCTCGTGGAAGACGTATGTCGCCGCCGCTATTATTGTGTTTGGTACCGTTGTCATGGTGATTAGTCTTATACAGGCGGTCGCCAAGATGATTAGCAGTATGTTTTACCCCCCCCACCCCACCCCAACCCCCTTTAGCAAAACACCCGTCCCTGGAGGTCATCAGATTCACTAACTTCAGCCTCAGGTGACGGTGGACCTGCAAAGTGCATGTAAAAGTATAGGGTGTCTCTATTTCCTCACTGTATGATCACCAAAAAAAAAAGAAGAAGAAATGGGCGTGTTGTCCCGTCTAGAGTAAGAATAGGAAATCGCTAGCCGTACCCGCCCCGCCGCGTTCCAGGCGCGCTGTTTGCGGATCGGTTGTAGACAAACCCCGGAACATTGTATATCACGTAGTTCTTTGGTAGAGTAAGTACTTGGAGTAGGTATTTAACATTATGGTGTTGTTGTTTTCTTGTATGGATAGAGAGAGACTCGGCAATTGGATTATGGCGTAGGAGTGGCTATAAAAGACACAGTATTTATTAACTAGGCAGCTTTTGCAGCCTTTGCCTCTCTTGAGAAGTGTGATAATCCAATGCGGAACATCTATAAGATTACGTCTAAATGACTTTCTAGTCTATTCGTTTTCGGGTGTCGAGCTCCCGCAATCAGAAATGAGGATCGTCGTACTCAAATGACTTCTTCAAAATAAGAAAGCATCTTGCAGCATCGGCCGACAAGACCTTGGCATTAAGGCGAAAAGACACAATACTGAAGAGTAGGGTGGGAAAAAAGTATAGCCGTAAAGAATCAGACGCTTTTATTTACCATTACAAGTTGTATCTATATCTACAATGGCCGAATTGTAGGGGCCCGTCTGTGTCGGTTCCCAGGGGGTATCATGTGCACGTAACCATCCAATTTCCCATCCATATCTGCAACCCCAAGATTGCTGCGCTTGAACAAAACATAAACTCCTCAGAAGAATCCCAACATGGCAAACAAGCAGAAAGATGCTGCGGCGGCCACACTGACGTGAGTGAAAGAGGTATATGATGCAGCTCCTGACTGAGCTGTGGCTGAGGTCTGCGCAGCGGCGCTCCCTGTGGAGGTCTCGTGCCCACCCAAGCCAAGGGCGGGACCAGTCGTCGGCGTAGCTGATACGGCAGTCGTTTGGCCGGGGTTGTTGACCACTGCCGGTGTGGCCGAAGCAGTTGCAGTACTGGTTACTGGTGGAGGGTCGACTCTAGTCGCAAATCCTATGGTGACAGTGATTAGCATCCAGCACGATGAAATTGCAATGGCAACGGCAACTCACCTATGCGTTTTTGGTCCTTGTCAAATACGGCATAGACATTCTTGAGGAAGACGTCTCCCAAAAGCCAGGCTCCAGCTACGACCTCATGGCCGTAGATGTTGCTAGTGCATGTCCCATCTGCGGCAGGGCTGGATCTCCAGTCCTTAGGGGAGATCACATAGCTGACACCAGAGAAGGTGTATGTTACATCCTTGTTGCTGTCGCACGGCACCTTGTATGTTGTACCATCGTCCGAGGTAGACCCAGGAATATTCTTGTGGAACGCAGCTACGTCGGTCTGGGGTCCAAAGACGTAAGAAGTACCGGTGTCGACATAAGCGAGCTTGCCAGCTGCGCCAGACTTGAGGCCGTCGTACTGAATGCCATCAAGGGGGATCGCCCAATCTCCGTTGTCGTTACCAACTCCGGTATAAGTGATGTTGCCGGTGTACTTGTCAGTGTTGCAGGTACCAAAGCTGATTTCGCTCGTGTTCGGTCCGTCCGCCGCTCTATTGAGGTATACACAGAAAATGTTGGCGGGAAGTTGGCCGGAACTTTTGACAACTTGCATGAAGTTATCCGTCTCTCCACCTGCCATGGAAAGTCCTAAAATGCCGTCGAAAGGGAAGTGGTTGAAATCATCCGACGTCTCGTTGGCCACACCAAACTGGAAGTCAAACTTCATGCCCGCAAAGGAAACGGTGTCGGTGATCTTATCGCCTTTAACTGAACCCGATCCGTAGGCGACAGCAAAAGTCTCCCCGGTTGCCTTGTACGTATCCGAGTCCGTAGGTCCATACGAGCCATGCTTCGCGCAAGCCGAGGAGGTGCAGGAACTGCCCATAACCCAACTAGTTCCCGCTCCGGTGTCGATGAGCATCCACAGAGGCTTCTCCTTGGAACCTAGTTTGACCTGGGCAAAGTAGGAAAAGTCGGTACCATCCTGAGCGACGGCGGCTGCGGTTTTGAGAGTGGTGTCTGCCGCTGTAACAATGCGATACAGGCTCTGTCTTTTAGACTTGGATGCCCTCTCTCGGATAGCAGCGGACTGGAACCTCGCATATTTGCGAGAAAGACGTTGAACCTCGCGGGCGACTCGTTCGGACTCGGATTCTTCAGTCTACAAGTTTTATGTTAGCAACTCTAAGCTTGTAAAGAACCAAAGTTGTGCTTTGAGACGCGATCTGACCAGTCCCCAAACAGCGTCTTCTGAATATCCCTCGGGGTTTCTCAGCTTACCAATGATTCCTTTGTGATTTGAGGGCCAACGTGGAAGCCGGGGAAGTTAATGGCCTTGATGGCATCGAGGGCATCAGATCCAAGGGCATCCTGATCCTTCAACTCCCTCTTGGAGGAACTGCAGCCACCTTCGAATGGACAATGCTGAGATACTTCCCAGGGAAAGAAGGCGTGGACAGACGTCAAGAGCAGGGACAGCTGGGCGAGCACCAGGGTAGAACGCATTGTGCCTTGGCAATGGCTAGCAAGCCGAAGTGACGCTCGGTACGGATATGTCGAATGGTCGATGCAAAGAGTTGAAACGTAAAACTGTCGAGGGGTAACGTGAGTGTTTTCAAGTTAAACCCTGGCGGCAATTCGACAGTGCTTGACGTGGTGAATGAGCTGGTGGTAGCTTATGAAAGGTGATTGACAATCACAAAAAGATGGAGGCAAAGTGATTCGCTACAGTCGAATTCGGCAAATGCAAGCTCGAGCAAGCAAGCGGGTACCAGACTCCGCGATTTCGGACAAATTATGATATTAGGGATTAAGTTGAGCGCATTGAAGGCTGGTAGATGCTGGACAGAGAGCCGTTCAGGAGACAGATCGTTTACGAGAGGAATGCGTAATCTTTTGATAGTAGGCTTGGCTGGTGGTTCTGAAATGCTGTACGCGGGCCGGTCGAACCAAGGGTGAGACAATGGAATAGAGGGGCAGATGATCGAGGGCGGCGCCGGCGAGGAGTGCCAGAGACACGATGCAAGACAATGAGACAAGTGCAAGGGTGAAGAGCCAAGGACAAGGGACTAGCAGAAGCTACGAGAGGTTCTGCTGTCTGTCTATATCTGTGACCAAAGACAAAAAAAAAGGCGAGCAAGGGGAAAGCAACTCTTGAAAAAGGATGAGATGCGCCCCGGGGGAGAAGGAGGAGGAGGGTGGAGGTCGGTGAGGTCACGTAAAGTGATGATGTGAGGTGAAGAGGAGAGAAGGAGGCGAGGAGGGGATCGTGGGGAGTAGATATGGAGATTTGCGAATCGGAGAGCGAGGAGAGGAGCCCCGGTTGACTTGCCAGACCCAGGCGAGCTAAGGCTTCTAGCGACGATGGGCTGGTCCAGGGTCGCAATTGGGAAGTGTGGAAGTGCAGGTGCAGGGTAAACCGCCATGGATGGTGATGGGCGGATAGGCGGGCTGGCAGGGGTACTGAGGACGGGTACCTCACAGCAACTGGAGTCTGGAGGACGCTACAGAAAAAGGTCAGACATGGCTTCACATTGAAAGGAGCTGCACATTCACGAACATTGTATCCGTACCTAAGGTAGTCACGTAGTGTAGGTAGGCTAGCAAGGCTAGGTAGGTTATGAGAGTGCTGAGTACCTTGAGAGAGTAAAACGGCCGAGGGAATACCTACTTACTTGGAGCTGGCGGACGATGGCTTCCACTGCTGGACTGGCTCAATCATCAATGCCCCCCCCCTCCCCCCCCCCAAGTGGATGGCTCTAGACTCGAGATAGTTGGGATGGACAGCAGCTAGTCAGATCTGCACACATGCATGCAATTGCACAGGGGGGGAACGGCGTTTCTGGCTTGATTGTGGACTGTGTGGTTGCCATCGGTTGTTCATTGCCTTTGGATTGCCATTGGGTCAAACTCGTCAGTTGTTTCTGCATTGTTTCTCGCGCACCTCCATCTGTTCGGAATTCTCTTTTGGTTACGTCTGTCAGCCGCCAGTGTCTCTTGCTCCTTCCTCTTTCTTTCTGTTCATGTCTTACCAAGGAAAGCCATGCTACGGTCGAGGCCACCCCTGACTTCCAAACAGAGTAGGTACCTACGCTTGTACGGATACCTCATGATGTACCTATTCTTCCTCCGTACCTTCCATTGGGTGATTGGGTCGCGCTTTGTGTGGAGACCACATGGTCCGTGGCGTCATGCAGCTCGCTGTTTCCCAGAGGAAAGTGGCAGGAAGTACCCAGCAAAACGAAAAGAAACGAAGGAAACGCTCACGACACCTTAACCCTTAGTTAAGCACTTAAGGCACTCTCTATTGAGTCTACACATCAACCGAGAAACAAAATCTCTTCCTTGTGCTCTCATGGGATGAACCACGGGTCATCCATTGGCCAATTCGGCCGTCCATCCAGATCAACATGCGACATTGATTGGGCCCCTGCTTTACGCGTCTCTCAACCCCAGCTGTCGATTCTTTCTCTTTCGGGCCCGCGCTTCTCCAGTCTCCAGTCTCAGGGACGCTGTCAATCAGTCAGGCCTTCTTTGCTTCCAAGTTGCTTGTTGCTCCTAGGGACCACCACTCCATGTGCCCATGCCAAGTGCCTTGGCTTGGTCGGTCCCTTATCTTCCCGGAATCCCACCTTGTCCACCACCTGTCTGCCGACGCATGCGGCTGTTGTTCTTGATTCTTCGATTATTCGAGGCCTCACCGCGTCCTTGTCTTCTGTCTCAACTTCCTTCGCCTTATATCTGGACTGGCCGTCTAGATCGGTCTCAGCACCGGGCGCGAGGGCGGAACAAAACTACCGGGCAAATCAATCGCTTCGCCGTTTGCATTTTGCATCGCGTCCCATCTCCACCTCAGCAAGCCACGGCCTCGTGGTAAAATGCCTTTTTCTCGTCACGGTGGCCTCGGCCGTCGACCGTTACCGTGTGTGGTGGGATATGAAAGTCGAACAGGCACTTACTAGCCGCAGCCACCGAATAAAGACGCTTAACCTGCCTTAGCGGCATTGGCGCCTCGAAAACAAGGGGCATCTCAGCCATCTCCACTTCCAATGTCGCCTTGCTGCTGCTTCGGGCCATCTTCTCCAGCTTCTCTCCAGGCCGCTCCCTTGCAGCAAAGGTGGCTACCGGCCCTTTTGGGACGAAGTCGACGAGTCCAAATGTGATGGACATTGGCCCGTCATCCATCGGCCTGTTCCACCAATCACCACCACCATCCAACACGGCATCTTTGCTTCTTGTCTCACTGGCGATACTCTCCCGAATCTCGCCCGCTTCTCGCTCACTTCCTGTCCATGGATTTGGAAGTTGAACAACCAACCACGCCACAGATATCGTTTCTTTTGTCGATTGCTCCATGACGACTGCATGCGACTACCAGCGCTGTGTCGAGACCATTTCTTCGGCCGGGAACGTGCGTCTGTCGCCGGACTCGAGCACAGCACTTGCTCGACCGCGCATCCACGTCAATCAAACCATCAAACGGACTGACGGGCGCTGGGACTGGCTCGTGCTTCTCATGTCATTTGGATATCCGATCTTCCATGGCCAGGACCGGCGACGTACTCCAACTGAGGTGGTCCACACTGGAAGTCCATGTTGAAGCCCCCAAGTTGCAGTGCACCGCAATTTTACGTGTCTATGGTCCTGCTGGCTCGCTGCTCTCTGTTTGCCTCCAGCGAGGAGTGGCACGACTGGCTATCTCGGCCATTTTACGGGCGTCTCTCAACCCTCATCTTCAACCTCGAGTCTCTCTAGCCGTTTTGGCCATTACTTCTGGGGCCCCCGGCAACTTTGGGGAGCTCTGAGGTCTGGACCAGCATTCAACCATGGTGCAGAAATGATGAACCGACTGAACTGGTCGAAGATCAAAGAGGGGATGCATGCGGTAGATGCTCAATTCTCGGTAGAAATCATCGCCGTCAAGGGCCCCGGGCTGCTCCAGGGTCCAATTTGCCTCGAGCCACCTGAGCTTTACACTTAAACTAATTACCCGGCCCTGTCGTTGTAGGTCAGAGCTTCTTCCTTTTGAGTCGGTTGACAATCCATGAGAATTTGAGAAGACAACTACAGGAACCACCGCCTGCGGCGCCTAGAATCCCTTCCTCATCAGCATGGAATTCAATGACCAGGCGCGTCAACACCAAGTCTTCTCCCCCAGCAAAACCTTCGGCTGGCGGCTTCCTGGTCCGATTGTGGCGCTGCATGAGCATCAGCCTAGCCGCTTCGCTGCAGGTAATAGCGAGCTAACATGATGCGCGGGCGCCAAATCATACAGACGTTTTCCAGTACTCCGTACTATTTGTAAGCGACCGCTTGACACGATGTGCATCATCGCGATCGATGATGAAGTCCACGTTCTATATCCGATGTTGCATATGTAGGAGGTGTTGACTGCCAACATTTCACAGCGAATTGGCTCTCGCTATCTCAGCCGTACGTCCTGATCTTCTTCAATGAACTGCTAATGCGGATGTGGCAGGCGGACAGGGGCTTCCGAATATGGGTGTGATGGACAGGGGTCGCGGCCGCGAAGGGTTTCAGCCGCGAATCACCGAGTCTCAATCAGCTCGGCGTGGCTGTCGGCTGTTGGTCGATTCGTTGCTCCAAGAATGGTCCCAATTACAAGATGCATTGTACTATGTGCTGTTGGAACTTGGAAGGCCAGAGCTTCTTGATCTTGTTGATCCCTTGGAGAATCACCACGTAAAGACATTGATTGCAATCATTTGCAAGTATTAGCAAACTAGGCATGATTCCCATCAGCATCTCATCTGCGGTGCTCTCTGCTCTACTGCGCTAGGCGCAATGCCGCTGCTTATTCTTATTTTCCAATGGAAGCAACGTTTCCCAAGTCAAATCCCATTGTTACGAAATGGATCCAGGCTCAACCTGGAAGCTCATTGTACCTGAGAAATGAGCTTGATGTATGCCTCTTCCAGAAGTCTAATTTTGGACTCGTATAATCAGCACTGGCACCGGGATTTTGCTGGTTTCCTCCTCCTCTATTTTACCAATATCACGTTAACTGGTCTTCTGTACAGGCTGCCTCATCATTGGAGCCGTACACATCCCACCAGGTCCGCGCCTTTCTCAGTGCTGCGGCTTCGATAGAGTTCTTAGCGCTGGTTGCTACCAGGCACTCTTGAACACTCACGAATCTACCCCTATCGATTTGTTCCAGTACTGGCCAAGATGCTATTGTGCGTAGAAACGACCAGACTGACTCATTGTACCACCGGAGAGATTCTACCAGATCCAAAGTCTCATTATAAACCAACGAAACTGTCCCCCTGTCGTCTTTCCCTAGTCTATCAAGTAGATGAGCGAGGAAAGACCAGCCGGAAATATCTGAATGATGCCTGAAAGACCACTTCTTAGCACTCTGGATCAGTGACACGAGCACGTCTAGCTCGGAAACGACCAGAAACGTCTTTGTCAACCACCGGGCATGAGTCCATGCATAATAGTTTCGCGGATGTCGCTCTCCAGCCATCATGGCGACTGTTTCGATGTCCTGTTGAACCAAGACAGGAAGCCCGGCATCACGGTATCGCTCCGACAGCCAACGTCGATGATTCCACAACGTCGGTGACTTTGTGTGTCGATGAAGTCGGCTGGTGAGCAGACTGTCCACAAACCACTTCTCCCGTGCTAGATACGCCTTCACGGTGTCACCTGTGGAGATCGCATCGGAGAGAAGACGCTTCCTGGTGTTGGCGGCTGTGAGGTGCTCGGGGTCCATCAGAAGCAGTACGCTTGTCGCGGCCATCAGCTGCTCACGCCCCTCGGAACCATTGGCTTGGTACTTCTGGAGAATCTTTCTGGCGAAGAGAAAGGCCTGGACGATACGCAGCTTGGGGATCGCAACTGCATTTTCGTCTCGTAGGAAGTTCTCGTCCGGGCCCATTGGATGGCCCTGGCCTAGGATTTCAACTTCGAGGACACCATCATCCTGTGGCTGGGCAAAAAGCCCGGAAATGTCGTTGAAGATTTGCTCGTGGTCGCCTTGCTTCAGAGCAGCGATGATGTGCTTATTCAGAGCTCTCGACATTGCTGTATTGATGGGTGAGTGAACGGGGCCGTTGTGGACTTTGAGCATGTCTGTCAGCCTCACGACAGAGCGCTCGCAACGGAGATAGTCGTGTAACGGCAGCTCTTGAGTCGTAAGCCCGAACCTCAGGAATGTGTCCGAGTCTGGGTTCAAGACGTTGAGGCCGTTCAGGTCTTGCTCTGATGGAATGTCAACGCGGAAGTTGAAGGTGATTGGTTCTTACTGTTTGCTCTTTGCTCTTTGCTAAGGCGGCCAGTGGCTCACAGTGGCTAAGGTCCCCGCTAAAGATGCAATTCGCGGGGCAATGACATAGGACCACGTTTTCCCGCCCACCCAAGGGCAAAATCGAGCCCGGTCACACACCTACCTATCGCTCGCAACGACAACCTTTCAGCCTCGCCATCACAGACATGTGCCGATAGATACCCGAAACCGCTTGCGAGTCTGTGATCTTCAAAAGGGTTGTTTACCATGCCCTCTCTACTCGTCATCATTCTCGTGCTGGAGGTGTTCTCCCACCTGGTCAACACCGTCGGAGCTGCCGCCATCAACAATCTGGTCAGTTTTCTTACCTCCCTTTGACTCCTCCCGCTTCTGTCTCCGAACACGGCCGGTCGCGGAATGATCGCCAATTTTGCTAACAGCTTAGCAGCTCTGGACAGCTATCAACTACCTCCCCATCTCGACCACCAAGGCAGCCGCGCAGCATCGAAAGCTGCAAGCCGACTTCCTCAAGACGCGAAAGGAACTGAATGCGACCAGCAGTCAGGATGAGTTCGCCAAGTGGGCCAAGCTCCGTCGTACGCACGACAAACAGCTGGAGCAGCTAGAGAAGAGCAGTATGTTACAAACACACAGGCTACGATGCGGCGGCTTTCATGCCGGAACTGTATGGGATTCGGGATGGCTGACATTCTTCACTTTTTTACCAACTACACAGAGCAAACCCAGGAAGCATCGAAATCAACGTTCGACAAATACCTCACGGGCTTCCGATGGGCCCTCACCAAAGTCCCTCAATACGGCCTGCCCTTTTGGTTCTCCAAGGAGCCCATGTTCTGGCTGCCGTACGGCTGGTTCCCCTACTACGCCGAATGGATCCTCTCGTTCCCCAAGGCCCCGATTGGCAGCGTTAGCATCGCCTCCTGGCAGTTGGCGTGTTCGGGCATGGTCACGTTGTTGACCGAGCTGATTGTCTCGGTCGTGGGACTCGTGTTCGTGGCGAAGCAACAGGACAAGGGAAAGCCGGTCAAGGTTCCTGCGTCATCAGGTAAGACGGCGCCCAAGACCGCGGCTGGTTCGTCTGAGACGGAGAAGAAGGAGTTGTGATGCGGCTACTCTGGGCAACTGTGCCGACGCAGCGAGGACCTAAGGCAAGCACATATTAAATAAAGTAAATGTCTTTGGCTCCTGTGGAATGGACCTAATGGTGTGACGCTAGAAATCTTTGGTCGTCCACGGCCTTGCGTCAAATTTCCACAGGAAATCAACCAGGTAGAATCCAGTGACGACGCAGTTAGGCAGGCGGAGCGAGATTGCTACATCCGTATCTGGGCACGCAGTCGCAGCAGCCCGTGCTTAATGCTACGGCCGCATGCTTGGGTATCCTACGAAAGAAGGAGGGTTTTATGGAATGTATCTCGTCTAATTTTGACGCAAAGTTCTTAATTGCAAGGCTAAGACTTTGTAACACGATCAAGAATAACCCTTGGCAGGGTATTTGGGGTTTGCTCTAGGCGTCATATTGACTTTGGTGACCATTTGAGTCCTTGCGGACGGCCAACAAAGCTTCGAAAGCGCCATCGTCACGTATAGAAATCATCTTCGAGCGAAGGTTGGTGGTTAGTAATGATAGCAAGAAATGGTGCTGCTCCCAATAGCAGCTCTGAATCTGAGAAGCCGATGCTGGTTGAGGCACTCAAGCGGCAAAAGCGCAATTTCCAAATGGGAAACGACCTGGTTACAGGTTTCGCTTGTGTTGTCTCGTTCATTGAGCTGGTTGTGAATGTAGAGGAAAGAAAGAAGCAGTGTCTGCTGTGGATATTTTCGCAAAAAATATTTGCGACTGAAAGTGCACCGCCACAGTCCACTTCGAGGTCGCGCCACACTGCGAGGTTGTAGGACAGACCCATTTACCGGATTAACCAATCGGCCGAGGACCGTGCTCAGCCCCATCGTGCATTCGCTCGGGAGGCAACGACATCAACTTGGCAGCTCTGTGTTTAGTACTTGCATCGACAAGCTTGATCAACAACTCCCATCGAACGGTTCGGAGCTCCCGCCATACATCAAGATGGCGCCGGCACAGGATACCATGTTTCGCTCGGCGAACATGAGTATGGTGCAGCTGTACATTTCGAACGAAATCGGTCGCGAGGTTGTCACAGCCCTTGGAGAGCTTGGTCTACTCCAGTTCCGTGATGTACGTTGCCAACCCCTTGCTGGATACTGTCTAGGTCGACACAAACATCGAGGCTGACCAGGCGTGATTGATCTAGCTCAATGGCGATGTCAGTGCTTTCCAGCGCACCTTTACTCAGGAGATTCGAAGACTCGACAATGTCGAACGCCAGCTGCGTACGTCATCATTCCCCCAACCGCGCATCACGAATCCCCTGGTGTGATAAACTAACATCGCGGCAGGTTACTTCTACGCCCAGATGGAAAAGGCAGGAATCCCTCTTAGAAAGTTCGATGTCGATGCCGAAAGACTCGCCAACCCATCGACCTCCGAGATTGACGAACTCGCCGAGCGAAGCCAGAGCCTCGAGCAACGCGTCTTCCAGCTTAACGACAGCTACGAGACCTTGAAGAAGCGCGAAGTCGAGCTTACCGAGTGGCGCTGGGTTCTCCGCGAGGCCGGCGGCTTCTTCGATAGAGCCCACGGCAGCGTCGAGGAAATTCGCGCTTCCACCGATAACGATGACGCTCCTCTCCTCCAGGATGTCGAGCAGCACAACTCGGCCCCCGAGGTCGAGCGGTCCTTCTCTGGCATGAACATTGGCTTCGTGGCTGGTGTTATCAATAGGGACCGTGTTGCCTCCTTCGAACGCATTCTCTGGAGAACGCTCCGTGGAAACTTGTACATGAACCAGTCTGAGATCCCCGAGCCGCTCGTCGACCCCACCAACAACGAGGAGATCAACAAGAACGTGTTCGTCATCTTCGCCCACGGCAAGGAGATTCTGGCCAAGATTCGCAAGATCTCCGAGTCCATGGGTGCTGAGGTGTACAACGTGGATGAGAACAGCGACCTTCGTCGTGACCAGATCCACGAGGTCAACGCTCGCCTTAACGACGTTCAGAACGTTCTCCGCAACACCCAGCAGACCCTGAACGCTGAGCTCACCCAGATCTCGCAGGCATTGTCCGCCTGGATGGTCCTGGTCACCAAGGAGAAGGCTGTGTACAACACGCTCAACAACTTCTCGTACGACCGTGCTCGCAGGACTCTCATTGCCGAGGGTTGGTGCCCGACGAATGATCTGCCACTGATTCGTTCGACGTTGCAGAACGTTACGAACCAAGCAGGACTCTCGGTGCCTTCCATCATCAACGAGATCCGCACCAACAAGACTCCGCCTACGTACATCAAGACGAACAAGTTTACTGAGGCGTTCCAGACTATTGTTAACGCTTACGGTACTCCCACCTACCGGGAGGTCAACCCGGCCCTCCCTGTTATTGTTACCTTCCCTTTCCTCTTCGCTGTCATGTTCGGTGACTTTGGTCACGCCGTCATCATGGTCTCTGCCGCACTCGCCATGATTTACTGGGAAAAGCCTCTCAAGAAGGTCACTTTCGAGTTGTTCGCTATGCTCTACTACGGAAGATACATTGCCTTGGTCATGGGTCTTTTCTCCCTCTTTACTGGTCTTATCTACAATGATGTCTTCTCCAAGTCCTTGACGCTGTTCGACAGTGCCTGGAAGTGGGATGTCCCTGACGACTACAAGCCTCCTCAGACTCTGACTGGTAAGCTCAACGACCACGGGTACCGCTACCCCTTCGGCCTGGACTGGAGATGGCACGAGACAGACAACGACCTTCTCTTCAGCAACAGTTACAAGATGAAGATGAGCATCGTTCTGGGTTGGGCCCACATGACCTACTCGCTCATCTTCGCTTACGTCAACGCCAAGCACTTCAAGAAGCCCGTTGATATCTGGGGTAACTTCGTCCCCGGAATGATCTTCTTCCAGTCTATCTTCGGATACCTCGTCATGTGCATTCTCTACAAGTGGTCCGTCAACTGGAGCGACCCGCAGAACCCCCGCAACCCCCCTGGACTGTTGAACATGTTGATCTACATGTTTCTGCAGCCCGGTAAGCTCGAGGAGGGTGCGCAGCTCTACCCCGGACAGGCCACTGTACAGGTCTTCCTCCTGCTTTTGGCCGTTATCCAAGTCCCGGTCCTGTTGTTCCTGAAGCCTTTCTGGCTCCGCTGGGAGCACAACCACGCTCGCGCCAAGGGTTATAGGGGCATTGGAGAGAGCTCTCGTGTTAGTGCTCTCGACGGCGACGAGGACGAGGACCACGGACTCAACGGCCGCCCCAGCTTTGAGTCTGATGGCGAAGGCGTTGCTATGATCACGCAGGACCTGCACGGTGACGGCGAGCACGAGGAATTCGAGTTCAGCGAAGTCATGATTCACCAGGTTATCCACACCATCGGTAAGGAATACGAAAATGAACGACCAAGATGGCAATGACACTAACGATGAATACAGAATTCTGCTTGAACTGCGTTTCCCACACAGCATCTTACCTTCGTCTCTGGGCCTTGTCACTTGCTCACCAGCAGCTCAGTTCCGTGCTCTGGTCCATGACCCTCGGACCCGCCCTGGGTTTCTCTGGCATCTTTGGTTCTATCGCTATCGTGGTGGTCTTCTACATGTGGTTCTTCCTCAGTAAGTTGCAATGCTCCCTCTCCTCTCAACAACTGCTAACAGCCCGTCCAGCCATTGCTATCTTGGTCATGATGGAAGGAACCAGTGCCATGTTGCACTCCCTTCGTTTGGCCTGGGTCGAGTCCTTCTCCAAGTTCGCAGAGTTTGCCGGTTGGGCCTTCCAGCCCTTCTCTTTCACTACGACGTTAGAAGAGTCTGAAGAGCTGAAAGAGTACCTCGGTTGAGAGGCTTCAGCTTGAGGTTTCTCAAGAGTGTGATTTACTGCATTTTGTTTTTCATTGTAACCTTAGTCCCTCTGTAACATAGCTCAATGCACTAGAGCATTAAGTATCTAAACTTGCTGGACCCTGCGTAGTCGTTGTGAATGTGATGGCTATACTACATGCCAGCGTATGAAACGCCGTGAAATGAACCTTTGCATCCAACATGGAACAAAAACCTCGTAGAACCCTTAACCCCAAAGCGGAGCCGTGACCTCGGCGGCGTGCTCGCAAACACGTCTCACACGATCAGCAAAAGCCTTGTGACTGCACTCCACCTCGAGATCCTCCAACCACACGACAGCCTCCATCTTGTCGACCTTGATACGGATGCCCGGCACGGGGATGCCGAGCTTGATGAGGCGCTCAATCTCTGCGCGGCGCCGCGCCTCGAGCTTCTTCTCCTGCTCCGCCTCCTCGTCGTCCTCGGACACGTCCATGGACGCGTCGCTGGCGTCGTCGGCTTTGATTGCCTTGGTAGCTGCGGCGGCCTCGTCCTCGGGCTGCGGCGGGAGACGGGGCTCGGCGACAGGGTTAACGTTGTCGGCGCCGAATTGGGCTTCGAGGAACATGAGGAAGCGCTCGAGGCGTTCTGTGGCTGGGACGTTTGCGTGGGGGTTTTTGGGGAGGGGTTTGGGGGCGTGGTCGTGGTCGTGGCTGTGGGAGGCCGCGGAACCTGGGGTATAGGGCGTTAGCGTAATGTAAGAGACTTTTGGTTAATAACGGGAGGCCATACGTTTTACTGCTGCGGGACTGCTCTCGATGGAGAACAGACACGCCATGACAGCGTCGGCGATACCGTCGTTGAGCATGTTGCCCTCCCACTCGAGCTCGACCTCTCCGTCGCTGCGGTACCGCACGGCGACGCAGCCCATGACCAGGTACGCGGCCACGAGGCGAGCGACTTCCTCGTCGGCCGCCTCCTCGGCCATCTCCTGGTCTTCGTCATCGCCTTCGCCTTTCTCGGCCCCGTTTCCGTTTCCGTTGTTGCCGTTGGCGACGACCGCACCGTCGACAGCCGCCTTGCCGCCATCGTGGGCCGGGTGACCCTTGCGCATCTCGGGGAGCTCCTCGACGCTGCCAAAGACGCCCTCGAGACCCCAGCGTACGAGGTCGACGCCGGCGGCCGTGAGGCGGAGGCGCTGCTTGCAGGTGATTGTGGTGGTGTTGAGGCCGGCGTACTCGCGCAGGTCCTCGGGCGCCATGAGGGAGAGCTTGAAGTCGTTTTGGACGAGGACGCCGGTGACGAGCTGCTGCGGTAGGGAGGTGGGGTCGGAGAGGGATGTCGGGGGAGGGATGGTGGCGAGCTTGCCGACGACTTTGGCCGTCTTGTCCTGCTTGAAGGGGATGCGGAGCTCTTCGCAGTTTTTGGGGCTAAAGACCTTAACTTTGGCCGTCTTGCTTGCGTTGAGGGAGAGGAGCTTGGATTTGAGACGCATCATGTTGTGTTGTTCACCGTGGACGAGGATCTTTGGAAAGTGTTAGTATTATGATTGATTCCTCGGAGGTTTGGTATAGGGGGAGAGGTGGTTCACTTACTACCACGGGAGCCGCAACCTCCTCGATAAACTCACGGTTCTCCGTGCCGTCAACGTGAGCTGCAAAGGAGTACTCGGCGACGCTGCACCGACGGGGGATGAAGACCTTTTCGCTTTCCCCGCCGGGACCGCGTCGAGCACCAGCCATCGTCCGGCTCATGACGGCCTGAATCTGGTCGGGCTCCTGCATGATTTGCTTGGCCATGGTGCCCTCGACGCTGTAACCGGTGATGATCACACCGTTCTTGTCGTTGGGGGCCCATCTCTCGAGGAGCTCTCTGCTCACGCCGTTCTGCAGCATACCGGGACTGGCCAGCATGACGCAGCCGCCGACGTCGTCGAAGCGGTCGAGGTTCTTGAGGGAGCGGATGTACTTGAAATCCCAGGGCCCGCCCTTGCCGGAGCCGTCGCCCGAGGCCTCGGCCTCAGCCATGCGCTCGCGGAAGAGGCGCTTGATGTTGTCGTTCATGGCGCCGACGTAGGTCTGGTAGACGACCATGCACTTCCTGGCGAGGTTACTGGCGTAGTAGATTGGAAATCGTTGGAAATCTGCGTGCTTGCCCCAGTACTCGTCCAGGATGAGCAGAAGCTCCTGGGCTCTACCGAGGGCGAAGACGGGCATCAGGACCCTGCCTCCGCGATTAAGGATGCTGGTGATGGACTTCATCAAAGCCTGCTCGCGCTCAAGGCGGGGTACGTGGGATGCAATGCCGTATGTCGACTCGGTGATGAGGACATCGATATTGACGCCCTTGGGAACTTCTGCTGAGACCAAATGTCTATCTTGCTCTCGGGAGTAGTCTCCGGTGAAGAAGATTTTGAGACCTGCAATCTCGATGAGGAACATGGCGGCTCCGAGGACATGACCAGCAGGATAAGGCGTAATACGGATAGAGGAGATGGTGTGTGTGGTGTGGTAATCGATGGCCTCGATTTGAGGAAAGGTGTTGAGATGGTCTGCTTCCGTGTAGACCGGCTGTGATGTCGGGTTGGACGAGGTGTTTCCAACTCGGACACTGTCTTGAATGAGCCACTTGTAAATGGCCTTTGTGGGATGGGTCATGAAGACCCGGCCTCTGAAGTTAGTCTTTGATAAGACATATGGCAATGAAGCCGCATGATCGACGTGGAAACTGCCACTTATTAGCATGTTCAACACCAAATTCTCTAGGGCGACAACGCCAAGAGCTATCACAACAACGAGGACGGCAAGGCAAGGCAGGTGGGAAGAAAGAAGTCTTTTGTATTGTTTCTGTGTACAAGAATGAAATAGCATAAGAGGCGTAGCAAGAGGCTCCATCAGGTGTCAGAGTCGCCAAGAGGCACTCGCTATCCCTGACCCAGGGTCATGATCACAGGTTTTGATTTCCAAGTTCATTCACCGCCTTGCCCTGTGATCCAACAGCATATGGGAGGGGGAGGGGGGCTTACTGGCTGATTAGAAGTACATCGACGGTACTAAGGTCGAAGTCATCGAAGAAAGGCAGCGCCGCAAGGCCATCGTATGCTGGGTGTTGGCCAGCATCGAGCTATGGGAACGGCAATTAGTATCTGCCTGTTCGATTGACGAAGGGAGGTTGAGCTCATACCATTACTGTCTTGCCTTTATATTGGATGATGTGACATGACCTGCCGACTTCGTTGCCGCCTCCAAGACAGAGAAACATCAGCTCGTCGGCAGGGTCGACCGGTTCCTCGGAGACGGTGGCGGCCATGGCCGAAGCCTTCCTCTTTGACGCCATATTTGCAAGTGTCGCAAGTCGCAAACAGTCGATCGGTCTGTAATCGCAAATATCGCACCGATTGGTGGCGGTTAGTTTCCGATTAGATCATCTGTAGCAAATGGATCGGCGCGAGATGGGTCGTCGATGAGGCGGTGACGATACTGCCACAAGCCGAAGCAGAGAAGTTGAGTTGCAAGTGACAGGAGGTCAGCGGGCGACGCGCAGAGCCAAAAGGGTCGCGTAAAAGTTGGCGGCAGCTGTCTGGTCCGCTACCAAGCTTCAGCCTGAACGCTTGGACCGTGTTGCGCTTGGGTGGGGACAAGGCTGCGCTATCACGTGACTTCCAATGAACGCGATCCTCAATTCTTTCTGGCGACAGCTCCTGCTTCCACATACCCAGTAACCCGTCATTCCGATCATCACCAGACAACCAACACGACAGAGCAATACACACGCGCGAACATCAAGCTGTCACCGAAATAGTATTCCCGCGAGTCCGACGCGATCGGGAAGTTTTGTTATTTGGCCGACTAGACCGGCACGTCAGATGGGCAGAGTCGCGTGAGGATTGCTCAGGCTGTCCAGCTTGCTGAGCTTCACCAGAGCGAGCGGCTTCTGACCAACCTCTTGATTCGATCGCAATCTATCTCTACTACTTGTAACAACAGCTGCGAAGATGGCACAACCCCAGCCTCAGATGCCACAGAGGGCATTCTCGCCTCCTCAACCTACACCTTCTCCTGCTGCGACGCAAGCCGGCTTTGCGCCTCCGCCTAATAAAAGACCGCGACTTTCCCCTGGCGCAACTCCACAACCCGAATCGCCATATTCAACTTCACCCTATGCACCGAGCCCAGGCGCGCCAGTCACTCCTTCCACGGCCGCGACACCTGCTGCATCTCCTATCTATCCAAACGCCCAACAGCAGCAGCAGCAGCAAGCTGCGACTCCGACCTACACGGGACCTTACCAACATACAAACGGCAACACCACCCCGGCTCTTGCTCTGCCATCAGCCCCGACACCTCCACCGCAGGTATCAACCCCGCAGCCACCGGCACCGCCTACTCTACCGCAATACACCACAGCAAATCTGGCCCTCGGCACCAATAATACACCTGGCACGCCCATCATGCAACAGCCTTCGACTCCCGGCGCGATGGGTCCGCCTTCAAGACCTCCCGATCGACCACAGAAAGAGTACGAATACGACGTCACGGATTCGCTGGCAGGTACGGGCATCGATTTAAGAGCTGAAGAGCAGTTTCTGTCCGAACTGTACGTTCCGGAATCGAGAACCGGCTTCGCTCCTTACCCTCAAGGCAACAAGGGAAGCTTCTACGGCGCGGGTCCTGCGAACCAGCCTGCTCAGCCAGCCGGCACCGATACTCAGAACCAGTTGGTAGCACAGGCGGCGGAGAAGGCATGGCAGGAATCCGCAAAGCGCCTGGCTCAGACCAGGACCATGGAGTTGAACAACGCTTTCTTGCAAGTTCCCGTTGTCTACCGAAAAGCAGAGAAGTTTGCGAGAGATCAAGGCCTGTTGCTCAACCTGGAGGTGAAGAATAGCAACCAGCCTATGGGGCGGATGCGTCTGCCTGAGGAGTTTCCCACGCCTACTGTGACGGTAACCACCAAGAAAGGACCAGACTCTACTATGGTGACAACGACAGGAACCTGGATACCTCAAGAGGCTTTCTTGGTCGACCAGTTGGCACTGTTGTCGCTGGCTACTAAACAGCGGCTCAGAACGCTCGTGGAGGATTCTCACCGGATAGCGAAAAACCGTCAGACTTCGTCGCATGGTGAAGTCCCAGAGGAGTGGCAAGTGGCTGCGGCACCACTCAAAAGCTCACCGGAGACTCAAACAGAGGATGGAACACAGCAGAGTGCGACTGAGAAAGGCGCCAGTCCTCGCCCCAGCGCTCAGAAACGTTCGTATACGCGTTTCCTATTTGAATTTAACATGCTGACTCATACTCAGGCCCTCTCGAAGATGCTAGTTCCAGCCAGGCAAGCAAGGTTCAGAAGATCTCTGCTACGAATACCATGAGTCACACAGTCCGCGAAGTAGGCAAGGCTGAGAGAGACTGGGAGGAGAGACGACTACGGAAGCGCAACGCCCGGAAGGATGGAACCGCAGAGGTCGCATCGACGCCATCCCGTGCCGGTTCCGTTGCGCCTGGGACTCCTGGCGGTTCGGCACCTGATTCGGAGAAGGCCATCTCGAAGAAGGAACAGAAGAAACTTGATGCTGTGAAGAAGGCAGAGGCTAGCAGCCATGCAAATCAGAACATCACGAGTAGCATGTTCGTCGGCATGCCCAAGACAGGATCGCTTTTCGGAAAGAAGAAAGGTGGCAAGTCATACTCTTGGATGACAGGCGGCAGTGGAGCCAGCACGCCGAGACTTGGCACGCCCGGAAAGGCGGGTGCCGCAGCCGCTTCGGGTCCTCCTGCTCCCGCCAACCACGCGCTTACCGTCGAGGGCCGCGCACGACTTGGAAACTGGCGCGAGGATAAGGAAAAGGGCAAAAACATCCAAGTACGAGATTGGGTGGCAGCCCTGGAGGGTGACGAAATCGAACTGAGGGCCATGCAGGCGGCTTACGATAAGCTGGACACATCGGAGCCCAAATAGAAGAAGGGCACCGAAAACTCCAAGGCAAAAGAGGTTGTGTATTTTTATTAGCATGGCGTTACGCAGACAGCATGGATCGGGAAGGGGTGGTCGGTCTGCATAGTAGTATCTTTCAGGGGGTAAAAAATGGGCGGCCAAACCAGCTAGGGCCACGAAGATGCCAAACGACCCAGCCTACATATCCAGGAGAAAGGATGGAAGGACTCCTTTCCATATTGGCTTCGGAGACAGGCATTGAGAAAAGTCCGCTCAGAGCCTCTCGTCTTTAAACGGGAGACTTAGTGGAAAGTCGTCAAATACAAATCGTTTGCCAGTACATCAGGGTTTTCACGGGCTAGCCTTCCAGAGAGAGAGATAAGTGAGTGAGAGAATATTGTGAGTAAGCGACTGCTGGCAGCCCATCACGGTACGCGAACGATGCATGTCTCGGGGCTCTCTCGGATGGCACATCAGGCTCTCATTCGTCGACGTGTACGCAAGCGGCGACCTCACTTGTGAGGTTGTATCCGAGCCGTCCGCTGAATCAGCCATGGCCCAGCGACAAAAGATTGTGATTGCGGGAGAAAGTGTGTCTAGACTCGTCACGTTTCTTCAATGTCATCACGTCACGGTGATGGGCTGTCACATCTTATCGACCCAAGGTAGGTATTCCATTTCGATGGGATTTTTGAATCTGCCTTGGTACCCCGGATGTGCCAATCCTCCTTAGCAGCCGTTCCCGCTCCAAGAAGCTAAATCGCTCGGTGGTGGCGCCGTGGCGGAACATTCGGCACTACCTATGGGTTTTCCAAATACCTACCTGCCTGCCTACACTTGCTTGCATGGCACACCATGGGCGCTTATCGTCGTTTTCCTTTGACCGAGATGGAGAGAGGGGCGGAGGCTGGGAGGCAAAGGCGGTGGATGGGCAACGTGGATGGTGGGTATCAGACATACATTACACTATTTGATTCCAACAGTAGTTTGTCGTGACTGACAAATACTCTCCAACCTCGAGAGAAAAGACCCCGGGCGAAAACAAAACTGATGACTGAAGCTTCTGCATAAGCTTCTTCTCCTTTCTCTCATCCTTGTCCCATTGGCAATTGTTTGTATTGTTTGGTTCGAACTGGCGTAAGCTCTTGTGGAGAAAAGGACCGGCAAACATGGGGCGGGGATCGCAATGTCTTGACATCGATGGCGTTCGGTTGGGGCTGCCGCTAAGACGAACGTAGAACGAGTTGGGACCGGGGGCTCTTCTTTCACACTCCATCGACTCTTCTCTGCCGTGTGTCTGCGTGTCACTCCGCTCCAACAACTCAATTGAGATCGGCGGCAAACATGATTGGGGGGGGCAATCAAAGACCTTATTGACTGCAGGTCTCTTTTGGACTTTGCTCTACTACCCTTTCGGAAACGTTGCATGGGGCCTAGCGGTGAGCCGGACTGGGCTCCGGCCCTGGGATGCAACGAACTCCGTTGCGCCGGCGTTGGGATGAGCAACCGTTGGGAGAGGTACCTTCACACATCACAATCCACGCTATTCCATTGCGTCTCTTGCCTTAGTTCCGCACGCCGGACTAGCTCCGGAAGGTTCCAAAGAAAAGACTGGAAAGATCGGGGGATCTCGCGCGAACTCGCTTCGGTAGGCTTACTTATACTTGGTTTAGTTGGCTTTTGCCTCCCTGGGCGGCTATGCGTGCTATGAACGCCACTTTTTGATGCGTGGACGGCCCGCTAGTGAGGTTTTAGACTGTATGAATTACAATTGCTTTGCTGACATCATGGCTGCAGGTGCCAGGTGGATGAATGGGCGCTGGTCATGGTTGAGGCTACCTTGCTGGGTGGGCATGCGGGCGAGCAAATGAGGATTTCCCACTCGTATAATCGCGAACCCCCGTTGCGGATGGGTTATGTCGTGAAGGTGATGGTGTCTGGGTATTTCGTATAAGTACAACAGCCTGGCTTGGTCCACACCCGTTTGCTGTTAGACATGATCCAAGACAACTCGATCTAAGACGCCCTCACATACAGAGCCTCCCAACGTTTAAACCTCAAACGTCGAAATGGTCAACCTAATTTCAGCAACTCTCCCGGTTGCTTTTGCGGCCTTAGCTGCGGCTCGGATGTGTCAAAACCTCACAGTCGAAGTCTCAATCACATCACGGAACGGTGTCTTCAATGTCTCAACACCAAAGACAAACATTGATGTCACGAATATCATGCTAGGCCTGGCACAGCAGAGCAATAACTTTTCCGCAACCCACCTCACAGATGTAAGGACTTCCGTCTTCCATAGCTCCAAACGATAAATAAAAACATTGCTTCCACGATGGCTAACATCTCATGCCCATCTAGTACGCCACCGTCGGAGGCACATACCACCTCGCCTCAACCTACTGCCAACCAGACTCGGGCCCAGGCGCCGTCCTCCAGATCCTCACCCACGGCATCGGCTTCGACAGGAGCTACTGGGACTTCCCCGCCAACAACTACAACTACAGCTACGTCGCCCCCGCCGTCGACGACTACGGCTACTCCACCTTCGCCTGGGACCGCCTCGGCATCGCCCAGTCCTCCCGCGGCGAACCCGTCAACGAGATCCAGGGCTTCCTCGAGCTCGCCGCCCTCAAAGCCCTCACCGACAAGCTCCGCGCCGGCGCCGTCCCGGGCGTCCCCTGCACGTTTTCCAAATACGTCCACGTCGGCCACTCGTTCGGCTCCGTGCACTCGTACGCGCTGTCCGCCATGTACCCAGACGCCTCGGACGGTCTCGTGTTGACGGGCTTCTCGGCCAACGCCACCTTCCTCCCGGATTTCTTGTTGGGCGGCGCGTTTATCCAGGCGAACCAGATCCCTGCGCTGGCGGACTACGTTGACGGGTATCTGGCGCCTGCGTACGAGGGCGGTGCGCATATCAACTTCTTCGCGCCGGATAACTTTGACCCTGCCATCTTGACGGCGGCGTATAAGACGGGCAAGCCGGTGACTGTGGGCGAGCTGCTTACGATCGGTGGTGAGGCTGGCACGACGAGCGGGTTCACGAAGCCTGTTCTTGTTATTACGGGTGGTAAGTCTCTCAGCATGCTGGATAGACCCCAGTTTGATATGGGAGGGTAGTGTAAGCTGACGGTTGGATGATTTCATAGAACGCGATGTCCCCTTCTGCGGTGGCGATTGCCTTGCAACCGGCAACCCTAAGCTGCCCTCGATCCCGGCTGGCGTTGCGCCGCTTATCAAGAACGCCAGCACTTTTGAGGCTTACGTTGTTCCTGACGCTGGACATGGTTTGGCATTCGTGAGTCTTCACCTATCAAGTAAAATATGATGTTAAGGACTTTGCTAATACCACTGTTATAGAGCTACTCTCACGTCGAAGTTACGAGCAAGATTCAAGACTTCCTTGCACAGAACGGCCTTGCAAACTGAACCCATGGTTGAACCTGTGGTATATAGGAAACCTTCAAGGCCCGTAGTGGTGGTGTAGCCGTTGAGGCTTCTATCTATCTTTGATGCAAAACTCTGCTAGCGAACCAGTTCACTCTCTTTTTCACGATATCAAGACTATTAATGTACATAATCAACATCACAAACGATAGAATATTGACCAATGTATTCATGATATTGGGTGTTAATTACGTTGATGTTCAGTCGTTCGATTGCAAACAATAAGCTCTGCAAACGGTATTGAGACGTGGAGATTGTTTCGTAGTAAAGTCATCTCATACGACCAACGGCAAAATACCTCAGCGATGAATTATGATCATAACAGAATGGACTAACTCGATTTTTTTCCTGTCCAAACTTCCGTCCAAAAGGGCACTACGCGCAAAATGACGTCGGCTTTCACTAGCCCCCGGATCCGGATCCGGCGGTCAACTAGGTAATTATCAGACAAACCAAAAGTACCTACCCCAAAGTCTGACGTGAGACAAACAAAACCACCACGAGAAGCAAAACCTCACACATCAATTCAAGCCTTCAATAAACCTGAGACCACATCTCTAAGCCGCTCCCATTCACACACCCAAAATCTTCTATACCCAATTCCAGAAAACGGACTTTTTTCTTCTTCTTCTTCTGTCCCATAGCTATGCAGCTCTGGTCTCACAAGGCGAAACCAGACGCCCTAAACCAATCAGACGAACAGCGCTGTCAGCAGCCCTCGTTGCGCGAGATGCTCGACAGCAAGAACGTGCCAAAAGCAGCTGGACATGAACCCGGGGAATCTTCAAGCCCGATACCGATAATTCTATGCGGTAAGACGGAAGAGATTGGTCGCGGGGTGATTGAGGGCCTGAAGCCGGAATATGAAGGTGAGTCCTCCAAGACTGCCCCCTCGTGGCCCTAGTTTCAACTACACACGTATTCCGAAGCCGGAACTGGGCAGAAGTAATAAAAAAAAAAGAAAAGAAAAAAAAGACCGCATTATAAGAAACCAATGTGATGAGAGAGTCTTGAAGAAAGTGAGCTCACAAACCCCAAAAACAGTCATCCACTTCATCACTTCCCCCGCCTCCGGAGCCGTCATCATACCAGCCCTTTTGGCGTCCAAAACCACCACATTGCCGCAGCACCCGGACACGAGCACAATCGGCAGCGGGAACTACGCCTCTCCCCCGCGCGCCGTGGTCCTTGGCGGCGCATTCGACGAGGAGGCGGTAAAGATGCTCCAGAAAGCCGTCGCTGAGCAAGGGACTGCGTCGAGGAAGATTCCCTGGCTGAGGCATGACGGGAGTAAAGCCGCGCCGCCTCCGGGGCCCGAGTACGGCAAAGCCATGGTCGCTAGAGTTAGGGAGAGGTTGGGGTTGTTGGAGGGGGAGGGGAAGTTGGATGGGGAGTATGGAGGTGATGAGTGGTATTGATGATTGGCCTGATTGGTAGTCTCAATTTGCCAGCGGCATGAAGAATAACATTCGAGGTAATGCACAAAGTCATTGAGGTATAGGAAGGCAAGTTGCCAAGTATCACAGACAATAGGGGGTCGGTCAGACAGATTACGACAAAGTTCATTAATCCAGACGGATGCTCCGCCATTCATGCTAAATCTCCCTCTTCATGGTATCATTAAATATGTGAAGATGAATAGAAATATCTTGCTTTCTTCACGCATTCCCTCCTCTCTCCCAGCACCTCGCCATCAGCAAAACCAAAATCAGTCAACAGTTCTCCTACGAACTGGAAGTGGAGTTGATGCTGAAGCGGTAGCTGGCCTGGAGGACGTACGGGTCACCGCCGGGCTCGTAGATCTGCTTCTTGGTGCGGCCCCAGGCGGGGTTGTTGATGCCGTCGATCCAGTCCTGGACCTCGAGCACGACGCAGCCGTACTTGGGGATGATGCGGGGGAACTTTTCGTTGTCAAAGAGACCCTGGTTCTTCTTGAGGGCCACGGAGCCGTTCTGCTGGCTGCAGCTGTACATCTGGAAGGCGTCCTGGTCCGTGAAGACCTCGAGCTGGATACCGGACCACTCGGACTGCATGCGGGCGACGTAGCCCTCGGTGCGCCAGTTGTAGGGGCCCAGGTCGTTGCGGTTAACGATCCAGCAGTTGTCTATGTCATGGTAAGCTTTGGTTGCGGGGTACAGTGGAAATTGGTCGGAACTTACCATAGCCGGTGCAGTTGAAGCCGCAGTTGTTCTTGAGATCAGGGCTGGAGAAGTCGGCACCAATCTGCTTGGGCGCGCTCCAGAAGTCGTTGACGGAGCCCTTCTCGTTGGCGAGGATCTCGCCGGTGGGAATGAGGATGTTGTCAACGCCCACTCTCTGGCCATTGTACGGCATGTGAAGGGTGTGGTTGAGAGCCAAGCTGGTCTCGTTGTTGGAGAAGCCGTCGAGGTTCCAGTAGGTGTGAGAGCTGAGCATGATGGGCGTCTTCTTGGTGGTCGGGACAGCGATCATCTTGAAATCCCAATCCCAGCCGTTAAGGGTGTAGGTGATGAGCGACACGACTTCACCAGGGAAACCCTCCTTTCCGTCAGGGTCGGTGAAGGAGAAGGTGATGCTGTTGTTGGTGTGGGAGACAATGGTGAAGTTGCGCCAGTCCCAGCCGTCAGAGCCTCCGTGAAGGGTGTCGAGGCCATTGTTGTCGTTGAGGTCGATCTGGTATTTCTCGCCGTCAATCTCAAAGGTGCCGTTCTTGATACGGTTCGCGTAGCGACCAGGGATGCCGCCGAAATGGGGGTGCTGGCGATCAGTCTCGTAGTAGGTGGCGTTGTCCCAGCCAGCGACAATGTCGCGGGGGATGCCGTACTTGTCGTTGATGATGAAGTCGGAGACAGAGGCACCGTAGGGAATGAAGGCGGCCTTGATGTGCTCGCTGGAAATCCAGTACTTGCCGTCCTTGTCGGGACCCAGTGACGAGGGAGCCGTGGTGTTACCACCGGATCCGCCAACGAACTGGGCCAGAGAGGTGGCCGGAGCAAGCAGAGCTCCGACGGCGACGGGGAGAAGTGTTGAGCGCATCGTGTAGGTGTGCCAGGCAAGGTAACAGAGGATTGAAGCACAGAGGACCGCGGGCCAGAACAGAGGATGATGACGGGAGGACGGACAGCAAAGCCTGTGAGAGGGGAAGGTGGGATGAAGCGGGAGCTTATATCCCAATGGTGCTCCCCTCAGGCGGGAGGAGCGGAGAGACTTGCACATGGCAGTAAGAATGGGACGATTCTGATCATCGGACCAACGAAGCTACGTTATGCAGCTCGAGGAGGGCAGACTCCAGAGCAGGGCCGCAGAGTGCAGAGAACCAGCTCCACTCTACTCTGGGGAGGGTGATGACGGGTCGGGGAGAGGTACACCGTATTCCGGACGCGTGGGAAGAAGAGAAAGGCGAGGGCAGAAAGAGGCAGTAGCAAGGGCCGATCAACGGATTGGATGCGACGACATGATGTTACTGGAGCGTCTAGACGAACATGTGGTGGAATCCTTTCGCTTGTCCGGTGCTTGGTGCGAAGACAAACAAAACAAGCTGGGCCGAGCTAATGACTGACTAGCTAGCTGGTCGTAGCGTGAGAAAGCTTTTCCTTCGCGGTCAATGGCAAGTAACGTTGGGCGAGCCGAGATGCAGGAAGCCGGGGTATGAGCGTGCGGAGCAAGTCCCAAGGTAGGCGTATCCGTGTAAGGTAGCTAGCTAGGCACCTAGGTAATCCAATTGCTCGTGAAGTGCGGTGCAGGGGAGCCAGCTCCGGACAAGCCAAGCAGGGCAGGGCGAGGCTGGCCAACGATGAGGTCGAGAATGGCCCCGATGATACCCTCTCCAATGGGACGAGCGGGGTACATACAATTGGCGCGTGGTTTGGCTGCCTTGGATGCTTGGGTAGCTTTCAGGAACAGGGCCGGGTAGGACAATGGGCCAAAAGTTCCTTCTGGGGATTGGTGGGTTGGATTGGGTCTTCCAACAGCAATGAGAAAGACGAAGACAAAGTCCGGGGTTTGCTTGCCGGACCGGACGCGATGACGACGTTGGGAAGTTGGGAAGTTGGGAAACTTGGGGGAAAGGCAGAGAGATGCCGGGGGGGGGGGGGGGGGGGGGTGGGGAGAGGATTTGGGGGAGAATGGAGAAACAGGGGACGGCTCGGTGTCGGGAAGGCGTTTATGCGTGTTTCATTGGTGCGCGTGCGCATTATCCCGATGTCCCGAGCTACCTATGCTTCTAAGAGGCGTTGGGTATTCTGCAGCCGATGCAGATGGCTTCAGTCAGTGGTGTTGGTGCTGTGGTGCTGTGGTGCTGCTGCGAACGGTTCAAGTTTGCCGGGGAAATTGAGGTGCGGGGTTTTAGTGCCACTTCCCCAGATGTTTTCCCTGCTTCCCCGCTCTGCGCCACTCGATATTCAACTTCTCCTCTCCAAAGTCAAGCTTTTTCTGGCCGATGCTGCAGCTGCACCAACACTCCGTCACGAGTTGCCCGGCAAGGTCAGGGTAGCACCTATGATATTACGGAGTACCATCCAGGCACGTAGGCTGCCTCTGCTCTCTCCCTTCACCTCTAAGTGTCCCATCAGTCCATCCTCCTCGCTGCCACTGTGATCAATTGCGGTTCATCTTACCACTAAGAGTGAGGCAATTGAAGATGGAAACATTCATGTGAGAGAAGAGTGATCACACATATGACTACCTGCAATTGCTCCCTTTCATCACCATCCGCCTCTCTTTTCCAGAGACAATATACCCCCCCCCCCCATGGTCATATCAATATAAAAAAGTCTAAACGAACAGCTCGCAATTTCTCCCAAGAAAGATCAAATGAAACTAAACAAATGCCATTTGCGCAAACGTCCCTGATTGGCACGCATCGTCCACACCACCCCCGGGAACCAATTTTGCCCTAAAGCAAGCCACACACACACATCCGTCAACCTCCTGGGACCATGGCATGGCCACCCCGGACTGCAGAATCAAAAGTCAGAATGTGGCACGTGGGGCTGTCAACGCTGCAGCTGGAAATGTTCCATACCGACTCTTAGAGGAGCATACCCGAATCCTCAAAGACATGCAAGTCACGGTCAAATTCTTCAACACGCGACTTCATAGGAACTTGGCCAGACTCTTCCATAGACTGAACTATGTCTTCGTAACGAGCCTATTGCTGCAGCTTGAGGCTAGTTACTTCCTACGTCGCTTATACGGTCTACACTTGGCGCATAGTTCTCTCGTATCCATCTGGTTTCTTAGTTCCATTCTATCCCATGCATTCGTTCTTTACTACAATTTGAACGGATCAAGATGAGAAATGCCATCTCGACTCATAAGCGATAGACCTATCATTGAAGGCTACCATTCGTCGGCGTCAAAGTGGTCACCTCTAAGTAGCCTCCTCGGTACCACCATCCTCCGAACCAGAGCCTCGGGTCGCCAAATCTTGAAGACCCCAAAGTGAATGCAAGGAGGGTTCCATTCTGACAGACTTCCCCGAGCCACGTGGCAAGTGGTTGAGCGCGGCTCCAGTTATCTTTCACTCGCCTGAAGAGGTGGCCACTTCTTGTCGCGACTACCTATGCTACTATGCTACTTACAACAACAACAACAACAACAACAACTTTGACCATCCCTTGGGTGAACCTTTGTGACGACCAATGCAGACTGCAGCTCCGGAAGTCGGACAGCTCCTGAGAACTCGTGATAGGGCAGTGTCTACTCGAGTCTTTTTTTTGCCGCGATCTCCACAAAAGATGCGCCGGATACGAAGTCAATGCCAATATCTATAGCAGACTTGTGCAGGTCACTTGAGCTAGCTGGTTATGAGTGTCCGACGTGAAGATGATCTGACTTTTGAAGCAGCCGACACCACTGGCAATGAGAGGCCACGCCTCAAGCTCAAAGACTAACTAGGCCAAGTCATGATGACAATCGATATAGCGCTGAGCTGGTTTCGCCACTGGGTGCGGGTCAACGCCAGTTGATCTCTTCCTGTTCAAGCTCCAGACTTTGGGGCATTCTCACTAAAGCTCCTGTTCACATATTCCCAAAACTGCTAGACATGATTAGATGGGAACACTCTCAGAATTCCAGCGAACGACATCTGGTTGGATGAGCGAGACGCATAAATGAGGAACTTTACATCGGGGGTGAGCTTGAGCCTTGTTACAAGCCTGCGTATTCTTCATCGAAATACAGGCATAGGATGCCAATTCTCAATATTCACTTTTCGCAAATGCCTGATGATACCAAGACACAATGCAAAACTCACAGTATCTAAACCTACTTGAATGCCATGCATCTCTCCCCACTAAAAAGGAGTGATTCAAGTCCCGCGTCCTGGCGAGAACATCCAGCCGATATTCTCGATCAGTTTGAGATGGGACGTCTAAAAGCCCTGGTGCGCAGATTCGTGTCCGGAACATTCTCCAGAATCCGTTGGAAAGAGGTATCATTGCGTGCTCCTATATGAATCATAAACTCTTGTTTTTCTTTCTTTTGCCCTCCGGGCTTCCTCCCTCAAGATGGTCACGCCGATGCCTCGAGCTGGCCAGGCTTCACGCGCCCAAGCCCATCCTTTCCATAGTAATCCATAGGATACACTCCCTTCCCCCAATCATCGCGCACCTCGAGCGCGACCAGCGCCTCGTACGGCGTCAACAGCGGCCGCGGGAAGGCGTAGCCCCAGTCAATGCTCAGCCGCGGGCACGCGACCTGCACCCAGCACTCGACGTCGCTCATCATGGCCAGCTTGCCCGGGAAGATCTCGCTCAGCAGCAGGTTCACCCACGGAATGCCGCGGTCCTTGAGCCGCTTCTCGATGAGGCCCATGGTGTGCGGGTTCCCCTGGCGGCCGAGCGAGCCCAGGATGAGACCCCACTTCGTGGCCGTCTTGGCCGTCCGGATGGCGGACCGCCGCAGGTCCTGCATCTCGTCGTGGCCGTACGTCTCGCGCGTCAGCTTGCGCGAGTACGGATCGTAGCGGTAGGCCGGGATGGTCGGGTTGTGGATCATGATGCTCTCCAGGTGGAAGCGGCCGTCGCCGAGGTAGAGCATCATGTCGACCTTGCCGTCGTCGTCGCGGAGCTGCGGGCTCGTGCAGCCGAGGATCTCGCCTTTGCTCAGCGGCGCGATCTGCGGGACGAGGACCTTGAAGCCGGCCTTTTCGAGGGTGCCGCGCACGCCGTGGATGGTGGCGTTGAACTGGATGGTGCCGACGACGGCGACGGTCTTGCCCGAGGCGAAGTTGCGCTCGAGCGAGGCCAGGAGGTGGGAGGTGTCGATGCTGATGTCGACAAAGACGTAGAGGGTCTTGATCTTTGTCACGTCGACGGGGATGAGGCAGCTGTGGGCGTAGTGGACGAGGAGGTCGCAGCCCATGGCGCGGGCTGTGTAGTCGTCGATGCAGCAGGCGCCGTAGGTGACGTCGCCCATGATGAGGGTCTCGATGCCCGGGCAGAACTCGGTGAGGATGTCGGAGATTGTGGTGGCGAAGAGGAGGAGGCCCTCGGGCATTTGCAGGGCGACCTTCTTGGCGCCCGAGGAGCGGATGCGGTGGATGGTTTTGGGAATCTCGAAGCTGTAGTTTGAGGGGAGGATGGAGATTGCGGACTTGAGTGCCGGATCATTGAGGATCTCGGGGGGCACTTGGTTCAGGAGGCGTGGGCCTCTTCTGGGTTGTGCGACTAGGAGATGAGAATGAGCATGTTGCTGTTTGCTTCTCATATGAGGCGTCGTGCGTTCTCACCTTGAATGGACTTGCTGTCTTCGATGGACCCATCCGTGCCTCCATTCTTGGCCGCGGTCTCAGCTGCTGTTCTCCTTCCGACGAAGCGCTTCTTTGGTTGCTTCAAGACTGGCTGAGCCGCAGCCTCCTCTTGGCGATGAGCCTCTTCAATATCGGCGGCGATGCCCAAGTCGGTTTGCGCCCGATCTTCCTCCATGGCTGAGACACTCGTTCTGCTTCGGATTCCACTTCACGGAGGGGTCCGCTTCACAGCAAATTTTGATGCTTCGTGAAAAGAGGCTCTCATATGAACACAAATATGGTCAAATGAGGATGCACGCTACTTTCAGTCAAGGCTGTCTGTCGCACCATGAGTAAGTGATTCTCGTTGAATTTGCCCCGCGAAAAATTCAGTTAGAAGAATGACATGATAAGTTGGTTGGCTAAAAGGGTACATGCAGGTAGTGAGGTAGCCAAACGTCCTCCTGCCCATTGGCCACAGCTTACATGTCAATCCACACTTCGGTGAGGCTCACGGTGAGCTCAAAAGTCTTTGGACCTCACTCAATCTCACCTTGTAGATTTATCTTCACTAGCTAGACGTTCTCAGTTCTCATGATCGATCGGGGTGCGCAACGTATTGCTAGGTCCAGGCTTCCCGCAACCGAGCAAAAGAGGCGGAGTGTTTCACCCCTCGCTTTTCATACATCTTGGAGAAAAAGGATGTCAATAATCGAAGAGATTGTTGCTTTCATGAAAGAAACATGAATCTTCGTTGATAGCTCTCCCTCAACGTATAACCAACCGCGATGAGCATATCAGACAAACGTGAACCAGTATGAAGACGCCAAATGACGGGAGATATCTTAGATATTGCACCAGCACCCTTCCTTACCTTACCCCGCTGCATCCCACCATCAGATAAGGTAAGCGATAATAGCAGGCCCACCTGTCAACGCAAACGAATGATGCCTCACACTCCCCCGCCATCCAACATCCAACCAAGAAACTGTTGTAAGGCGCCTTAGCTTGCATGAAAGATCGCCAACCCTTCACACCCTACAGTCCTCAAGAAAATCATCCGAACGGCTTCATCCGTCACGTGGCCAGCATACTTTCATCTTCTCCAGGATCAGTCCACACGAACCAGACCCCTATCCTAGGTAGATTCCCGCCTCACCGACCTAAGCATCTCATCCAAAACACACATCCTCTCTCTCTCTCTCTCTCTCTCTCTCTCTCTCTCTCTCTCTCTCTCTCAAAATAAGAAAAAATTAAAAAAAAAGTTTAAAAAAAAATTCCATCTCACCGTATCTTCAACATGGCGATCGCGGTATGGCTGCCCAACACCCCCTCCCCCCCCAAAAAAAGACCACGTGTCTCTGCAGATGACTTACTGATGCGGTCCCCTCGTCCTTTTGGCGTGGGAACAGGCTGTCGGTCAAATCTGTTCCACGGCCTCTCTGTCCCACAATCTAGAGCAGTGCGTGAGGCTCGTCGCCAAGGCCGCCGTCGGCGGTGCCAAAGTACGTTTCCATCCTGTCCATCCGTACGAAAAGGGGGCGTCGATATCAAAAGCACTCTCCTTGCTCCTTTTCTCTCGCTCTCTCTCTCTCACCGCACCACAACCCATCATATTGCAGATGAGATCTGCAATGCAACTGCAGCTGAAGCACAGAATGGCTTCATGTCTGCCCCCCTTTCCCCCAACCGCCAACACCAACACCAACACCAACAGGCGCCGCTGACCGCGCCTCCCAGGTCCTCTTCCTCCCCGAAGCCGCAGATTACATCGCCTCGAGCCCGCAAGAATCCCTCTCCCTAGCCCAGCCGCAGTCCCAGTCCCCCTTCGTCCTCGGCCTCCAGGAAGCGGCAAAGACCCACTCCGTCGCCGTGAACGTCGGCATCCACGTCCCCACAACAGACGCCCAGAAGCCACCGACGACCGCAACCGCAACCGCATCCGCCGTCCCAGCCGCCGCCGCCACCACCCCAAAGCTCCTCAACCGCAGCCTCTGGATCAACGCAGACGGCACCATAAACCAAGCCGCAACCTACGACAAGCTTCACCTCTTCGACTACGGCGCCCTCCGCGAAAGCGCAACAGTCCAAGCCGGCCCCTCCCTCACGGCCCCGTTCCCCACCCCCGTCGGCCGCGCCGGCAGCCTCATCTGCTTCGACCTCCGCTTCCCCGAACCGGCCCTCGCCCTGACGCACCCGGGCCCCAAGAGCCCATTTCTCCCCGACGACAACGGCAGAGGCGGCGGCCACGGCCCCGCCCAGGTCCTCCTCTACCCTTCCGCCTTCACCATCCGGACGGGCCAGGCGCACTGGGAGACCCTCCTCCGGGCCCGCGCCATCGAGACGCAGAGCTGGGTCGTCGCCGCGGCGCAGGTGGGCGCGCACAACCCGAAGCGGAGCAGCTACGGGCACAGCATGGTCGTCGACCCGTGGGGCCGGGTCAAGCTGGAGCTGGGCGGCGTGGACGCCGAGGGCAGGGCCGAGGAGGGCGCCGAGGGGGCCATTGGCTTTGTCAATGTGGATTTGGACGAGTGGGCAAAGGTCAGGGAGGGTATGCCGTTGGCCAGACGGACGTGAGTTTGTGTGGTTTTCCATCGCCGCTTTGTCCGTCACATCTCCTTTTGCTTGTTGTTCTACTCACACCGACCTCCGTCTCTCTCACACTCACACACACACACACACACCCCTCTTGAGGCTCAAAATTTTCTCCATGTAAATGACACACCCCCTTTCCCTCCCCTCGCCCCTGGATGTGCTGTCATTTCTTCTCTCTGGGCATTCCCGTCTCCCCCGTCACCTGGGATGCCGGCCCCTTCTCCATCGTGTACCAGCGGGATGGTTTAGCTGATGACCTGAGAGCAGCGATGTGTACCCTGAAATTTGAGGTCCCCTTCCTTGGGGGCGTGTGAGCTGTCACATTCCCGGGAAGCAGGGTCAAAGCTGGGATCGCAGGTGTATCCGTAGAGTTACCTACGAAGTACGGAGTCCTCATGCGGATGGAGATACAGTGCAGTTGACCGGTAAGGAGAGCCCCGGGTCTCGGGAGGGAGAAAAGAAGGACGGGTACCGGTACGGGCGAGACGAGACGAGCCTGACTGTCGGTAACACCGCAGTGCAGGCAGGTCCTTGAGGCTTGAGGCTTGAGGCTCTTGGTGGGAATGCTGCAGGGATGGGCGTCCCAACCACTCGGCGCGTCTGTGGATATTCTAGAAGGGTAGCCGCAATGTTCCATAGATTGGGGGCGCCGTCGGTGAAATGATCAATAGAGATGAGTGCAGAAAAAAATTAAAAGAGGCCCTGGTTACTGGTATCCGTACGGAAGGACGGATACTTCGTACGAGAGACCGTAAAGGTTACCTTGACCTCCACAAGCAAGACAGGGCCCGTGTTTCGCAGGGTTGGAAGATGAAAGAGAGAGTGAAAGACAATCCACCCCGGTGAGACCCTCACCGAGACAGCAATCTCCCTTGGGATATGATGTTCTGCATCGATATGGGACCGGTTCCAGCGAAACAGTCAACCTACACAGAGGCTAGACCGGGCCCCTTGACGGGCTGGGAGGATCGATTGCATGCCACCGGCAGTTGGCAGACCGAAAGGCCCAATTTCCCAAGAATCCAAACGCCCATGTTCCCCGGTGACCCGGTGAGTCAACATCCTAGGATAGAATTTGTCTCCCTGTATCTATACGGATAACAAGTACGTTCGGTACTGTAGTGTAGTATTCTGGCCTCTTGGCCTTTCCAGCGGGGTTGCCCACAACGTCATGCGCCTAGTCTACCGGGGGGAAGAAGGGGAAGGACGAGCCGTCAGCGGGTTGGGTTGGGTCCGTCCCAGCCCTTTGCCTTTCCGCAGCAGTTAGCTCCTCGGCGATGGGGAGAGGATCCGGCCGGGTAGCGTACTCCGGATGCCTACGCGTAGTAGTGTACGGATACACTAGAGCCAAGGAACAAGAGAACACCCAACGGTTTTGAAATTGGGGGTTGGTGTGTCTGTTGGTGTGTCTGCCCGCTTCCCGTTTCCTGGTGCTGCACTGCTGATCCAGGCCTGGCTTTGCTCATGTCGTAGTTACGCATGGGAAGTTTCGGTCAGGGACTCAGGGGTTGGGTGAAAGTGAGCAATGAGCATTCTCCTCGCGCCGGAGCTGGACCCGTGGTTTGGGTTAAATTTTGCCCGGACACGCGATTTGGGCCCATTGGATGTTAGCAAGGGTTCTGTGTTCGGCCCCAGGAGAAAGAGAAGGTGAAGAAGGAAAAAGAGGGACGCGCTAGAAGGAAAATCCGAAATTCGAAATAACGTGGTAAAATTAAGAAAGGCAGGAAACGAGATCCGCCTGCTTCAGTTATCCTCAGCTGCCCGGGAGGAGGGCGTCAGGGCGTATCCGTAGGTACCTCAGTACGTGGCTCCGTTGGGTTCGTCCAAGTCACCGTGCCAATCCATCCATGGGCACCCATGCAGGATCCATGCAAAATGGATGCCGGTGGGGACGGAGCACGCTGACCGGTAATGTTTCCCACTGGATGAAGAGTAACCAGGGATCCGATGACGGTTTGAGGGTGTGTGTTGAGCGAAGAAGGAAAAAGAGGGACCTTCTTCCTCCTTCTTTGCTTCTTCCATTGCCCCCCTGCCCGTAGCCCTTGAGGCTTTTCAAATCATGCCTCCGGGGACCCGGGGGCCATGCCCCGGCTACAGTGTCCGCATGGCTCGGTGGGGAGAGAGAAGAGAGAAGAGAGACGAGAGAAAAAGCGGTTTTTTTTGGCAACGGCTGTCCGTTTGTTGCGGGGACCTTTTGCCTGCGGGACCTCTCTGATCGCTTCCTTGAACCTGGAAACCAGTGAGCAAAAAAAAAAAAAAAGATACCAAACCGCGGCCCCGGGAAATTTGGCAGTTTGAGATATGCAGAACCTTGCCACTCGTCTTGGCTCCCCGTGAGATTTTCTGCTTCTCCCGGAGCCCCGTCCTCCCAGGCGTTGGTCAGGCGGTCTATTCGACAAGGCCAAGGGCCAGGGCTTTCACTCACCGAATTGGACCCTCATCATCACGCCTTGCGTCTCCATCAAAAGGAACTTCTCGAAGGAAACCCCCTTGTAAGAACAGAAGGCATGCATGGGGAAGAGATTTCCAGAGGTTGGGGACGACGCGCAGGGAAGCCGGGGAAGGGAGTATATCGCACCGGTGAGGGAGTTGATGACCCGG